GCGTTACAGGGAATTGCAAGTCTTTTTTTTTTTTTTCAAGTCGATTTAAAAAAAGAAAAAAGAACAAACACCGAGCTATTGTTCATTTCAACAAATACCCCAACGCAGACTCCGTGACCATTCATCCTACCCACGGTGTAATCCTACCCGAATGACGCGGCCGCGGACCTTAGTGTGAGGAGGTCTGTGACAAAGTAAAACGAAGTAGGGAAAGACACCTCTCTTCGTTTACGCATTTCCTCTCCGATTTCCGCGACCCCGAAGTCAAGTACATGCGTGCAAAAGGAAAACGATGGAGATAACAGAACAGTGGCGTAGGCAGGGCGTGGTTTGGAGGGCCGAAACCCGCCCCGAAGTGTCAATGCTACCCCTACCCCCTCCCTCCTTCCCCCCCCCCCCCCCCCCCCCTTCCCCCTTCCCCCGCGGGGGGCCCGCTCGCTCCCCTACTCACGCGGTCGGTTCTGCACGAGGCACGGAACTAAGGGGGAGCGCGGAACACGATTTGTTCTGTTGGGCTTTTTGAAAGAATCCCGCTTTGCGTAAAAGACGGTCTGTGCTGTCCCTCTCGTTGTTTGGTTATTTCAGCAAAATACACAGCAGGCTTGTATTTTTTTTGTAGTCAAATGTCTACTGCGACGCCACTTACATTGGTGAAACGGGTACACAAATAAGCACTCTTCTCAAGGAACACAAGACATGACGAAAATAATCCCTGGAGAAGGGGAAGAAAGGATGAACACTCATCTGCAAACACAGCTAGGTGACTGGTGCGCGACCGAAAAAAACCCACCTGATCCTGGTATCGAACCAGGGACCTCTCCGTTTTCAGTGGAGAGCTCTACCCACTCAGCTAGCCTGGGGCCCTAATGCCGGCGCCAAGGTGAATTGCGGCGTTGGCCAATCACGGCCGCAACTTTCTCGCCAAGTGTCAAGATTAGGGCCCCCAGAGTTAGAAGTCAGTAGAGCAAACGGGTTTTATCAGCTGCCACCAGTCAACACCATCAAGGGTGAACGGCCTGCATTGTGAGCGTCCGTACCACCGAGCTCATCCTGCTTCGTCATGGTATTAACGCCGCTGAACACCCCCCCCCCCCCCCCCCCCCCCTGAAATAAAATCCTGTCTAGGACACTAACAGAATGAAACTTTGTTTTGCTTACAGAAAGGTTCGTTCGGACAAAAAGCAAAGTCGGAAACAAGCTGTAACCTATTCGGGGATCGTGAGGTCAGCGAACAACCCATATTCTAAACGTAAACATTTTTTGACAGAGGTCTGTCTGGTTAGGAAGAAATTGACAGAGTTTTTGCGGACTCTAACCAAAGTTTTATTTAAAAACACATAAACCCGACGTTTCGGGACCCGCTCGGTCCCTTGGTCACGGGCAGTGTTGGCGGTAACGCGTTACAAGTAACGGCGTTACCGGTAACGCGTTACTTTTTTTGGTAACGTAGTAACGTACTCGTTACTTTTTGAAAGAAGTAACGGGTAACGTACTTACGTTACTTATTTTGAGTAACGTGCAACGAAATTACGTTACGTTACTTTACGTCCTAAAACTTGAAAAAAAAATTAATATTTTTTTTTGTGTTTTTAAGTGCCCAGTCACAAATTCCTTAGTCAAAAAATGCCACTGTCCTCCACATTTCTTTGACGTCGGTGCTCGTCAGATTTGACGTCACAGGCCATCTGCCACTGGTTTTCTCCGGCGGCTCGTTGACCTCGCGACCGCCGTCGCCTCGGCTGGAAGGCCAAGGAAGTCCGGCTTCGGGTGGATTTGGGAGATTCCTGCGTCGAAGCCTGCGTTTCGCTTCCCGCTGGGAAAGAGAATGACACCTTCGTGTCATTCTCTTTCCAGTTTTCGGGACTTGAAAAAAGGAGGAGGCCTTGAGCGATTGACCGACAGCCAACAGAACGTGTGAGTGGCTCCCCGGACCCACGTGATGAGCAGATCAAGGCCGCCGTGGAGGGCCCGGGCGAGATTTAACAGAAATAACTTTCCCCCGGCAGAAAAAAAAAAAAAAAGAAAATAACAATACGTCCGGAAGCAGCGCACTGAACGATTCGCTGACGTCGTGTCGCCTGACGATTCTTGTAGTGTCCTGTTTGGACAGGCAAACATTCCTGCTTTACGGAAACCCCAACGCCACGCCCATCGACCCGCTTCGACGAACGCTGTCGCGGGCAGTGGCAGGCACAATGATAGAAGTCCTCCGAGGTCAACTTCTAATCCTCCGAGGAGAGAGGGTTCAGTTTTTTCTACTATCCTAATTTAACCCTTCGTGGAACCCCAGTGGCTATTCTTTGTGCGAGAGTGAACCCGCAATCCTACTGCGCCAGAGAGACGCTTCCCGGCGATTTCTCCTGAACCGTGCTGGAAGCGGATCTTCAAGGTAGCGCACCAGTTGTCAGAACTGAAGACGATGAAAACCCCCACGAAAGCCATTCGCAAGCAGTTGTCGTCACCTGTAGGATGGCTACGGCAAGCGCAGCTTCATCGCCTTGGCCAGGACTCAATGAATATTTCGAACTGACAGAAGCTAAAGATTACAATTTAATATTTAAGTGCCTTCTGTGTCAGCCACAGCTGAAACTCTTAAGTTGTGCCAAGTCCTCAAGCTCCAACCTGAAGAAGCATGTAAAGAGAGGGTAATTAAGTTTCCGTATGGACATATTTTAGCTATGGCGCTTACGCACTTATCAGACGTCGAAAAAGCAAATGTTTTAGTTCGTGAATACTAAGTAACGCAACAGTAACGTGCGTTACTTTTTATCAGTAACGGTAACGGTAACGCGTTCCTTTTATTTTGAGGTAACGTAGGTCGGTAACGCGTTACTTTTATTTGCAAGTAACGAGTAACGTATTTAGTTACTTTTTTTCGGTAACGCATACAACACTGGTCACGGGTGACTGTAGGTGGGGGCGCGGTGGGGAAGGTTGCCCAGGTGGTTGGCCTTGCTGAGGCTTAACCCAGAGGGCGCGGGGGAGGGGGCGCGGTGTGAAAGGTTGCCCGGGCGTTTGACCTTGCTAAGGCTTCGCGCCCTCTGGGGTAAGCCTTAGCAAGGTCAAACGCCCGGGCAACCTTTCACACCGCGCCCCCTCCCCCGCGCCCTCTGGGTTAAGCCTCAGCAAGGCCAACCACCTGGGCAACCTTCCCCACCGCGCCCCCACCTACAGTCACCCGTGACCAAGGGACCGAGCGGGTCCCGAAACGTCGGGTTTATGTGTTTTTTAATAAAACTTTGGTTAGAGTCCGCAAAAACTCCGTCAACCCATATTCTGGAACTGTATAACTGCAAAGTGTAAGGTCACCGCGAACCCGCACACAGACTGTAGAGTCCTATTTCGAGCTCCATGGTCGTGGTGCCGGCCGTCCATTTGACGCCGCCTCAACCCGTGGACGCACGCATGTATGCACCAAACAAGAAAGTTGCGCAAATGCCTCCTTGCGATTGACGAGGCGTCCGACTTGGCCCGACGATGGAACACAGCGGTGTCAAAAACCTGCTTTCACGGAACAAACACTCGCGCTGTATGCGAATCGGCGGTGTTCATCGCGCGTATGCAAGCAATGGATTTTTTGATAGTGAAACCTTCCATGAACATTTCTTCCATAAAACAACTCTTGCGCAGCCGCGCTAGATACGCACAGAAAAATGGGCACTTTAGCTTTGCCTAAACGTTTTGTGCTTACTCACCGAGACATGGCCCACCCCCTTTTTTTTTATGGAAGTTTAGGTGGCGATGGAGGGCGATGCCTCGAAATATTAGTTTATCTTTTTTTTTTTATATATAATTTGGGGAGCTTTAAGCACCGCTCGGTCAACATCTGAACCGAATATTTGGCCAAAGCTGACTACAAGCGTCAGATGTGCCGAGCTGGGACGCCGCTGCAGGCGACGTAGCGAGAGAACGGGTTGACACGCGACGGGGCCTCGACAAACTTTGCGGCAGCTTTTGGGAATGCCTGTTTGACGCCGGAGGCTGCGGGAGGCACTTCATGCCTCAATACGTGATGTAAAAGACCAGAGACGCTTAATTAAAACACGTTGTTGGCAGCCTCTACACGAAAGTACAGCACCCAGTTGGCCGAGGAGGGAAGTAATCTTCAAAATCCTGCAACACAAAGGGAACTGCTCGCTCAGTAGCCCGGGTATATCTCAAAATGGCCCATTTGCATTACGTCTTTTCTCACTAGGCCTCATTCTCATTTGAACCTTCTCTAAACATCCAAACCGTTTTTTTTGCATTTGGGCCTAATTGCATTTGATCCCGTTAGAACTAGGACCGAATGGCGCGATGTACGTTTTCAGGCCTGGATTGGCTCCAACGGCTTGTGGCGTATGCTCCAGTCCATGCTAAAAAAAATGAGTGCACCCTCCCGCGACTTAGGAAAAGAGACATATGAAGCCGTGCTTAGACACAAAAGCAGTTGGATGCTTAATTGCCCAGAACCTGCTAGTACCACTTCCAGAAAACCCAACGAGTTGGTCCTGACTTTCACTGCACGCTTCAAGAGCAGGAGAGACGTATTTCAGGAACTCTAAAGCCAAACCACTGGACTAAAGTATATGCGCGTGTGTATGCGACTATGCGATCGCTTGCATATAAACAAGCTGAGAAGGGGGAAGGTTAGACTTCAAGCTTTTTGGGGGTATGTGGTGACCCAGTCGTGACACCGACACCTCAAAATGCCACCATTCTTTTTTTTTTCTTGGAAGAGTAACAGCGAAGGTTGTAACAAGAACGGATCAAATGTGGCGGGCCCGACCAAAAAGGACGTTTTGAGAATGGTCCTTTTGAGCAAGTCCAAACCAGAAGGTCGAAACGAGAATGGGCCCAAATGGGAATCACCCCAGTAGCCGCGACCCAAGGCACTTGCGATATCGTCTCGGGATCCTGTGCAGGTCATGATGAAATGCAGAAGCAGGGTACACAAGATTCCGTATACGGCAGTATACGCAGAGACAGGAGCCCTAAACACTGGGGACAATACACACAGCTGCTTGAAATCCATCGTGTTTAATCCGACATGACTGACTGCACTTCTTGCCGAGAAGAGCCGCTACACAGTGCAGGCACAAGATGGGGCGTTGGCTTAAATCTTGGAAGAAATGCCTACTGCTCCCGCAAGATTACATAAACTGCCGACCTACAGCTAGGAGAATGGTCACCTGCCACTGTACCAAAAGCAGCAACATTAAAAAAAAAAGCATAAATGTATTACTTTATTTTTTGAAGGTGCACTAGATAGTATGCTCCATATTATTGAGAAACAGTTTTCCAAAGTACTTAGTCTTTGCTGAACATTTCACACCAGTAACTTTAGTAATATATCAAAAACCAAGCCTTCACAACTTTATCAAAAGTTATGGAAAACAATGTCATTCAAAGAGAAATTCTCAACAAATACAATGAACTAAGCACTGTCATAACATATATAATACCATAAATATTTAGCCGCTCAAGATTAAAAACCACTCGAGAAAACAAGGGACATAGGCAAGGCCACGTGGCTTTCTCGCGATAACTATAGTTATGAACATGAGAAACCTAGCGAAGTACAAAACTTCCCGTAGACGAGAGCATAAAGCACCATTATCCCCAGCCTCCACGGGTATTTTTATACTTTATTCGACACAACTGGAGGCTACTAACGGGAGCTTGTCCCTTCATGTGGCAGAACTGCAGTTGACCCTCAACTCTCCCAGATCCAGAATGGATTTTGAAGACTCGCAGAGGTCCAGACTAGTAATTCCTTCGTAAACAAAACATAGCTGTGCCACTGCCTAATTCAAACTTGGAAAGAGTTCCACAGACATCCTACCCATGCTTCTGTACACATCCATTCCTCCAAAATAGGCATTTTTATACACCGACGCTGGAGCGTGCGAGAGGCTCCAGGGCGAGAAGGCGTGCTCCTCAGTGCCATCTCGGACAGTCCGGACCAGGGTCCGCACAGTGAGGGGAGCCTGGAGGCAGCTAGGAGCTGCCAACGCTGCAGGCCGGCGTGGCAGCCACCGTGTTCTCCGGCTGAGACTCCCGGGAGCAGCTCGCCGCAGCCTCGAGCATACTTACTGTGGCGCTCGGATGAACCAGGAACACATTCTCGTTCTCCCGAGAGTTCCCAATCAACACATCCAACCTTGAAGAGAGGGCAGAGAAGGGGCACAAAGTGCCGTTAGAGAAGTCCAGCTAGGGCTTCCAATTTGCGCTACTGATTTTGTGTTCCTTCGGGGATGACTAAAATGGCCGTGCACACCACTAGAAACAGGTCCCAGCCAAAAAGGGATGCTTCCGCCGAGCTGAGACTTCTAGCCTGTGTGAAACTTCGGCCGAATTGAACCATATAGAGAAAATTGGAAATTATAGCAATATCGGTAAGACATAATAGACCCTTTTCAAAAGTTAACTGAGCAACATTGGCTGTCGCCATTGCTCGATCACCTTCTCCGAGCATGTATTGGACACGAGGCCTGCGTCAGCGTGAACTCGACTCGTATTAAAAACGACCGCTGCATCAGCGTTCGCCGAGGATTCTGATCCAATCATGCCCTTGGTGTTCAAGCAAAGGTGGCAGCCAATGTTGCCCGATAAACTTTTGGAAAGCTCTGTCTCTCTAAACCAATTACATAGGTTATAATGCGTTTAACACTCTGCTCGTGACTAGTCTTTTAAATATGCCTACTCCCTCACATAATGCCCACTAGGAGCCTCGAAAAAAAAAATGATATTGATTAAACGAGAGCCAAATAAAAAATTCTAGCCTAACTGAACACTCCGTGGACTTGGAATGTCCAGCCAACTTGAAAATTCGAGCCAAATTGAGGCTTCAGCAGGATCCAGACTTCAGCCTAATCGAGGTAACATAGGTTACCAAATAAGAGCATGTTTGTGTTCCCCATCCTTGCTGAGTGGCACGTATTCACTTTAAAAGGTGTAGCTGCATTTCTCTATAATCGTGTCTCTATATAGACGATTGCAAGCTGGGCGACTGGCCGCCGCCATGTCTCTGCTCGACCAGGCACGCCCGTGCGATTACGAGCTTGCGAAAGCTACGTTCACCCGCGCGTTGCACGCGCTTGCATGCATGGGGCACCACTTGTGGCGCCATGCTTGCGATTGTCTATACCTTCGTTTTGCAATCTCCAAAGGTATGCCCACCTCGCTCAAGTAATGCTTATCACAAAGCAAACTGGTGTCTGGTCAGCTTGAGAGAACCTGAGACTAACCGCCGAATTCAGAAACCTCACTCAAACTACACTCAAACTGAAGGGCCCCTCCACTTCCTCAAGGAAGGCGCGAGGGCCGGCACTGGGGCCAATCACGACGGCGGATCCGTCCTCGCGATTGGCCAGCGCCAACCCTCGCGCCTTCCTCGAGGAAGTGGAGGGGCCCTTCAGTTTGAGTGTAGTTTGAGTGAGGTTTCTGAATTCAGCGGTAAGCAAACAGCACACGCAAGGGGAGACCTAACGAAACTGACACCACTGTGCGCATCTGCCCCTTTTGGCCCCTTTTCCAGTAGCAGGTGTTCTTTAAGGGGAATCAAGATACTCTTAGAAGTTTGGGCGATGCCTGAACCTACGCTTGGGAATCCCTCAGGAATGTGGAAGATCATTTAACACCAATAATTACGGCAGTAGTGAGCCTTCAATGTCACGACCACTTGCGGGCAAAGGTGAAGTTTGGCTCGGAGCACCTATCATTATGATGCTTCACTGATGGGGAGCTCTCGAGGCATGTCTAGAAAGCAGATTGGCTGCCCATAGGTACATCATGTGGCGCATCAAGCTCCGCATTCGTTTTTCAGTAGTTACCCAACTTTCCGAAGCTGACCAGAAAACCCCCGACAATTCTTTGTTTTATGTGTTTTCCGTCTTAAGGTGGGGAATAAATATGAACTTTCTTATTTCTAGAGATGTCTGAACGAAATTTACAGGGTGCGTTTATAGCACAGACATAAGAGTAACTGCAAAGTTTCATGGAGCTGTGCATATTATTTCTCAAGTTACAAATATTTATCAGAATCGTCCATATGCATTCTTTATCCCAGGTCTGGAGAATTTGAAAAAGGTAGTAGCGGCGTAAAATCTGTTATGATGACTCCAGGATAGGTTCCCCAGGGCATAACAGAGCCCTTTTTTTTAATTTATTTGTTGAAAAATTTTAATGCAACTTTGAATTTTGTGTAGTCAGTGAAACCCACACTCATCAAATTTAATTTTTTTATTATACATTTTTAGCACAGTTTTCTAAAAAAAGGGCTCTATTATGCCCTTTTTCCTGTTGTGTGTGAATGTACTATAATGGTATCACATAATCCTGATGTACAAAAGGTGAAGTTCCATGTTTATTGGGCATAGGCTTCATATCTGACTTGTTTGTACTTGTACTTTTTTTTTCTTGTTTCTTTTACAGCTGCACACATTTGCCAAATGAAGTGTTCATTTCTTTTTCAATGTATGTGTGCAGTTATTCTTTGAGTGATCACAAATATCAGAGCTACGTACAAGGATGATCTGATCCGGTGTCCGTTGGTGTTTATTTTATATTCACCGAAAAAAGTCTATAGACGCTTTCAGGGAGTCAGTTACTCGAGCTGCCACCAGTCGGCGCTCCCTCCACGCGCTTTCCGGGCCGCCATGACCGACCTTCAGTTTCTCGCCGTTGTTCCGCGTTATGTGCTGCTGCTGCACCGGCAACCACCGGAGCTTTGTTTTCGTGTTCTTTTACAATCCGCGTTGAAATCTTTTTTTTTTAAGTCTTTTCGATATTTCGGCCTTTCATTTAATCATTTGATATCTATATTTCAACATAGCTCTTGTATTTTCTTATTTATGGGATGGAATCGGACAGTGAATAGATCGAAGATACAAGATCATGGCCTAGGCTTCAGAAACCATGCAAGTTCATCGCATTCTTTCCCTTTTATCGCTAATAAAGGGCAGTCAGCACCATTGCAACATATGAAAATTTCAACTGACGCAATAAGGCTATCGCAGTCGTGTTTCTCGCTGCATGTGCGCGCATTAGACATTGTTTCCCTAAGTAAAAGCCGAACCGTACGTAAGCGCTTTAGCGAGCGACAAGACGAGCGACGGCGATAGCGACGAGTCAGCGACGAAGATTTCTCCCTTTTGCCCGGCGCGTCGCTTGGTTTTTGGATTTCTAGAAAACGTCGCTCACCGTCTTGGTCGTTTGCTCCCGTTGCTTCCATGTGGTTTGCCTCGTCGCGCGACTGACTGGGCGACAGCGAAGCGGGTCGCCGTTGCTTGTCTCGTTGCTCACCAAATCGCTTGCATGCGGTTTATACTTAATATCGAGGTGCCAATGGTTCAGTGCTGTGTGCATCGAAATTAATTAAGTATAAACCGCATGAAAGCGATTTGGCGAGCGACGAGACACGCGACGGCGACTCGCTTTGCTGTCGCTTGGTCAGTCGCGCGACGAGGCAAACCGCATGGAAGCGACAGGAGCAAGCAACCAAGACGATGTGCGACGTTTTGTAGAAATCCAACAACCAAGCGACGCGACGGGCGACAGTTAGAAATCTTCGTCGCTGACTCTCGTCGTTGTCGCCGTCACTCGTCTCGTCGCTCGCTAAAGCGCTTAGACGCGATTCGGCTTTTACTTACGGAAACGATGTCTCAAGCGCGCATATGCAGCTGGAAGCACGACTGCGACAGCCTTACTACGTCAGTTGAAATTTTTGTATGTTGCAATGGTGTTGACTGCCCTTTATTAGCAATAAAAACAAAAGAATGTGATGAACTTGCATGATTTCTGAAGCCTAGGCCATGATCTTGTATCGTCGATTGATTCGCTGTCCGATTCCATTCCATAAATACGAAAATACAAGAGCTATGTTGAAATATAGATATCAAATGATTAAATGAAAGCCCGAAATATTGAAAAGACCTAAGAAAACGCACGATTTCAACGCGGAACGTAAAAGGACTCGAAATCAAAGCTCCGGTAGTGTCCAATGCAGCACACTACGCGGAGCAACGGCGAGAAACTGAAGGTCGGCTATGGCGGCAAGGTCACGTGACATCAAGATGGCGGCGCCCATGAAATGTTGCCTGAAAGGGTCTATAAACTTTTGTGGGCATAAATATATGCCGAAAAAAACCGAAAATTGTATTTTAAAATAAACACCGAAAAAAGTATGCCGAATTAAAAAAATATAGAAACCGAAAACGCGGAACCCTAGGTATAACACCCCTGTCACCTGAGTGAGAAAAGAAATTACAAAAATTATAGCATTTGTAATAGAAAATAAAAATGTGAAAAGATTTATTTTCTTGCGTGCAATAGGCTCAATATACTCCAGCTTTTCATAACAAAAAGCCATAAAAATGCAGATCCCAGTTGTGTTCCTTACAAAGTTTCAATATAGAAGCTTGAAATATTAGCTAAAGACATCAATTCATTATCAAATGATAATTTTTCTAAACTAAGATTTGGTGCCAAAAAATGAGACAGAGATAAACATATTCGAAATTTCACTAAGCTGCAGTTTAAATGGTGCCGGCTTGTCGGAAATAGTTTATTCGGGAAAAAATTTTTTTAAGTTACAGGAGTGAAACTTACTGACAGCATCTATCAGGATATTTGAAAGCCGATAAAACTACTCGTCAAAAATGTGATGTTTAGAAGGAAATTGCAATTTCAAGGCAGAGTCCCCCCTCAACTACGCTACATTAAAACCGGCTCGTCTAACACTTGCCCAGGAGGCAGGAACGCCCAACAGCTTGATAACAAATGAGGTGAGACTCCTAGGGGCACTAATCTGGACACTTGGCGAGAAAGACAGTGAGAAATTTGGCGGCTCTGATTGGCCGGCGCCAAGGTCAAGTGCGGCGTCGGCCAATCGCAGCCGCTAGATTTCTCGCCGACTTTTTCGCCAAGTGTCCAGATTAGGGCCCCTGATTAGATGTGGTGCATGTCAACCAATTAACCCAAAACTTGGTTAGTTTACGCCACAAATCAACTAAGACCGTGACAAGCGTGCGGGTAAAGAACAGAAATATATCTGGACGTCTAGACATCTTTGATCGGCAATCGCAAACTTTGTCGCACAGCACTCGTTGTGTAATCGGCATTCTTTTGTCCAGAATCTTAAGCTACCAGCTCCGCAACGATGCTGGATACAAACTCTCGCACCCGAGCAGCTCAACTAGCTGCGCTGCTTTGTGTCAACAGCTGAGTGCCAGTCGCACCGAGCCCGGCGTGCACACCAGGAATGCCCTCTGACCCAGAACTGCCCAAGCAGCGGGCGTCCCTTGGGCCCAAAATTAAGCCCTCCTTTCATCTAAAAGAGGCTAGCCGACTGAATCCGACCTTGTAGACCAGGGGTTCTCAAACGTTTTGGTCTCGCGCAGGGCCGTAACCAGGGGGGGGGTTAGGGGGTTCTGACCCCCCCCCCCCCCCCCCCGAAATTTTTTTCTGGGTACGGCCCTGGTCGGTGCACTGGCAGTTAGCCGATTTTAATCTCCACCTCTGCGCACGCCCAGTGGCGCCGGTCGGCTACCGGGTACCAAACCGGGACCAGTTCTCCGGTTTGCTCTAACTCTCCATTATATGCCACCGATGCGCATGATTCATAGGCGAAAATAAGACAATAGACACTTTCAAAATGGCCGCCGTTGTCCCTGAAACCCCCCCCCCGAAATTTTTTTCTGGGTACGGCCCTGGTCTCACGGAACCCCAGCAAGCCTCAAAAACTGCCGTGGAACCCCCCCCCCCTCTATATGTGCCGACCGAGAAGCAACAGATGCACAATTGTAGGCAATTTTGCTTGCGTTGTTTCCCATATATTCCTACCATATCAGTCGCAATGTCAGTACAAAGTGAGATGAAGGCGCTTTGCATGGTCCTGCCGCGCAGCCTGCGGCATGGGGGGAGGAGGGGGGGTGTTGCAATTTGGGTGTTCGCGGAACCCATGAGACCAGCTCGTGGAACCCCTGTGTTACCCGGAACCCAGTTTGAGAACCCCTGTGTAGACAACAACACTAACCACCACAAGGCCATTGAAGCAAAAAAGAGAGCAGGAAAATTGTCCAATACCACGTTGACAAAAAATCTTGAGGTTCAGCATTTAGGCGGGTCAGATGGGACTGCGCTGCCGTTACTGTTTGCTCTAAGTGCGAGTGAAGCAGAAGTTGCGAGGAGGAGGTACATGTTCTCGGCATCTCTTTTGACTATGTGGATTCGTGCACGCAAGCGTTGCTTACGGCAACATGCCTATAAGAATACGAGCTGATGGCCTAGTTCGTTAAACATCAGAAAAACAGTGCGAAAGACAAAGGACAAGTAGAAGACTGGACAGAACAAGCGCTAGTGTCAACTGACGTTTTAATTACGAAGAAACGAAAGTTATAAAGCTCAGGTTTTTGCCACCAAAGGTGATGCCTCCATCGGTGACGATGCCATGCAGGGAACTACGGTACCTGCAATATTTTTCCTAAACTTTTTTTTCGTTTCATCACTTTTTGTTTGTTGTTTTTAATTTCTGCAAGTTTAATTTTATTTACCTCCAAATTTTTAAAATTTATTAGTTCGAACAACCTTTTGATAAAAACTCCAGCTACATTTACATTATTTTTTCGTTCAAACTTTTCCTTGTTTCTTTCCTTTCAGTTTTAGTTTTTAGCCTCCTCCTTTTATCTTTCCAATAAAACGTCAGTTGAAAGTAGCACTTGTCCTGTCCAGTCTTTTGCTTGTCCTTTGCCCTTGTGCTGTTTTTGCAACATGCCCATGTTTGTAACTTCAAATTCACTCAAAGTAAAACAAGCTATGGGAGTGGACACAAGTAATTTTGTCACAGAAGTTTCCGTGACAAACCGTCAATAATTATACATTTCAGGCTACGTCAGCTTCAAATTCATACATTGAATGTGCAGGAAACGAGCCAAAATGTCTCGATCCACATTCCAAACAACATTTTCCCCTCTGGGTTAGAGCGAGGCCACCGAACCTGCTCGATTGTGTTATCAGTCTAGCCGATGAGAGTAGGTGCAATGCTACCCCTTCAGGAAATGAACCTGTTTCGAGTAAGGAGCGCAGTCGGGGGGGCTGTCTGCAAACTACAAATGAAGGGAAGCCCAACGTGCCTTGCCTGTCAAGACACATTGGCATTGTTCCATTGTATGAGTTTTTTTATGCCCTGTACAACCGATGCTAAAATAAAATGGTTCAAGCTCGATTGTGCTGACAAAGACCGATAAGTGCAGAATGTGCGATATAGGCCTTCCGGGGAAGAAGAGAAGAACGTTCGAACCGCACCGCTTACCAAAGATTCCCTCTCATTTCTGACACATGCTGCGAGATGGACGGGCACTAAAGGAAAGACCGCGAAACGTGCGAGGCGCCTTCGGGTGCTACGTCCTTGCACGCTGCATCTTTGTGCGCCACGCCCGCGAGTTCACTTCTGCGGGCTAACAGCCAGAGACCCTAGATAGCTCACTGGGCAAAGCACATGGCTCGCAATCTCAAGGTGGCGACTTCAAATCCTGTCAGAAACCGAAGTCATTAGAGAATTTCCGACGCGCACAACGCCTTTTGGTGTCGGTTTTTCGCTACAGCCAAACGTTACGGAACTCTATGAAAATCTCCCAATAAAACACATTCTGTAATATGAATTCTAAGATAGGTGCCAAGATAAGATAGGTGCCGACAATGCTGATTGTGCGGGAGAGTGCCCTCCAAAAACGGCGACGGTGAAAAGCAAGGGCCAGGGGAGAGGCCTCCGCATGTGCGGAGGCTCCCTGAAAAAAGGTCTATTGCCCGCTCGAGTGTGGCGATACGTTAAAAGTATGTGCACAATGTTCACTCTGACATTTACGGCACACGCACACAGGCACTACATTTTTTCGAAATCATCAAAACTATTACAGGGGTGGAACTCATGAAATGTAGTTGGGAGCAGCCACAAGAGCAGCTGAAACAGCTCTTTTGGAGCAGGCTGGGAGCAGCTCAGATCAGTTTTCATTGCACTTTGGCTAGCGTCTTAGACAAGCACAGGAGAAATTTCAATTGTACTTAGCAGCACAGATGAACATGAGCGGTTAGGGACCTGGGTAGATATGGGATAACAGTGTAACAAATGCGAAAACTTGAAACGTTGTAAGCCTTAATGAGATCCAAAAAGCAAGTACCATATGTTTCTGAAGATAGTGTCCTTGGTATTTTCTGAATCGCTTTCAGCTGCTCAAAGTGCAAACCAGCACTGCTTATCGCACAACCCACACATGCTCAACATAGTAATTATATGTGCGAACCACGTGACGTGCGTAAGCAACAAACGTGCAGTTGCGCGAAGGAACAGGGCAACAAATTTTGAGTTGATTCTATTGTGCAACTCAATATCGAAGCAGCAGACTACGATTAACGGAGTTATCGTATTTGAAGCGATAAGCAGGAGCAAGGTTAACGTACACCGAGCAGATTTACCGCTTGCGTGAGAGCTGTTTGGCCGGCAAGGTTTAGGATTGGACCACGTTTCAGTTCTATCAAATCACGATTTATCTTGCAGGAATGCCGTTCTAACTTCTAACGATGAAGCACTAAAAGGAATCTTTCGCTAATGTGTTTTCAACTGGTTGACGTCTGGAACCCAGGCTGCAGAGCCTCAGGCAATCTGACGCTTAGCTACTCGACCTCACCTCGAGCGACTTGCTTAACCGCTTAGGGTTGAAGAATAACAATCCAGTCGCAGGTGGTGTAGCGCTTGGAATCCGACCCCCAAATTTTTTCGCGTGCTTCCGACTCAGGATACACAGGGAGAATAAACGGAACAAAGGATTGTGAGGCCGACCAACCTAAATGCGCTCATTGTTGCCAATCGAGTAGAGAAAAACAAAAAGCAAGACAAAATACAATTTTTTTGGCGCACGTCTTGCGATTTGGTGCATAATGGCGCGAGGTACCGACTGTGGCGCAGTTTACGCATGGCGCAGGATGGCGCAGACAAATGCGTCTGGTGCAAAATGTCGCAAAAGGCGCAGCCGTTCCACCCCTGTATTAGTGCAAACTATAGTTCAATCAATCATAGTTTAACCTAAACTAGTCAACACTCATTTAACTGCGCTCTCGGTTTGGCACAAAAAAGTGTGCGTATCTTTCCTCCCGTCCAGAGAAAGCTTACCACTGTGCCAGCATCGACCTTGCAGAAGAGGGTTCCAAAAGAGGGGTGCTTACTTGTCGTAGATGACGCCGTCGACGCCCTTGCGCTTGAGGCAGGTGATGGTGCCGCTGTGGTTGTTGTCCTCGCCCCAGCAGAAGAGGATGAGCTTGTGCTGCTTCACAAAGGGGATTAGCGTTGGCTGCTTGAGCAGCTCCTCCGTGTGCACGTTGATGCCCTGCGGGGAAGGAGGGGCCCTGCCGTCATGCACGGGCACCCATTGGCAGCCCCTGCCCCGAGCAGAAGACGTAGGGCGTTCTGAGTGAATACAACCCCCGAGCAATTACAGCCGCCCAAAGCTTAACCTTTTAACCACCAAGTTAGTTTCGAAAAAAATGTACAAACTTTTTAAAAAATTTTTTATTTCCACATATTTTTTCTTATGTTGTTCTGATTTTGCAAATACATTACTTGACTGGTTTCCAATTGGTATTTAACACAAAACTTTTAAAAGAAAAAGTTGATTTTTATGGAAGCTTTCCCTCAGTGCATGTTAGAGTAATAAAATAACACGTGCTGAAATGTGCAGTATTTATTTGAACATACGCACCGTAACAAAAGATCAAGTGCCTAGACGTTTCTCCGTACTAGCGCTAATAAATACATCTCGACCTGCGGTTTGCCAACAATTCCTCGCAAAATTATTAGCGCAAGGAACACCATCATCTCCTCGCGGTCCACCGGCTTCCATGAAGAACCCCGCGCTTCGAAATGCGGGACCGCGTAGCAGTTTGTCTCTGTCACAATGAGGTCGACAAGGTCCCAATCAAAAAAAACCTCGAACCAGCTGAGAATGTCTTTTTCGTCAGTGGGCTGCCACAGAATCCCAGGCACTGCACAAAACGGAAACGTCGGAGGCGCGGGTGGCGGGTTTTCAGTGTTTATGCATTGCCACACTCGAACACTACCCAGCGCGTCATCGTCTTCGTCACTGTGGTCGTCGTCTAGGTCCGTTTTGTATTCAAAATCTTTGTCCGACTCACTTTCAGAGACAAATTCAATGTTTTCATCGTCGCTACTGTTCGAACTGCCGCGAGAGAGAGCCCGTTTCCGAGGGCCGTCACCAGCATCACTCGAGCGTGCTGCCATTTGTGATCACTGTTGCAAGGCTAGATACGCGCCAAAGACCAAAACACGCTATATTTGCGCAACCTCTCCTGCCCTCTAGCGTTGAAAATTGAAACTAAAGCCGATGGACGAACCTTTCTCGTCCTTGGCAGTGAAAGCAAACCATCATTCTGGCTGGACGAGTAACTCGTCATCGGCAATATTGGTACAACCTTCCATGACGAGTACAGCTTGGGCCGGGTGGTTGAAGGGTTAAGAAATGCAGGGCATCTCCTTCTTGCTCCACAGCCGATGAGACCGCAGCACTGACTCGTGCGACAACAAATACTGATGCGTCAACTGCTTTGCCTACACTACCGGGAGTGCAACCATCCATAAACATTCCCTAGTTGCGTACACCCTGAAAAAGACCACCATCCAAAAAAACTGAAGCAAAAAGCTTTTTGTTTCAGCCACGGACGAGCGTGGCGTAAGCGGTCGTGCAAAGCCTCACCAGGATGTGGGTGCACATGGCGAAGTAGGTGGCCATCTGGACGGAAGAGGTGCGCGTGTCCAGGTAGGCCGGGTACTTCTCCGTCTGGCCCTGGGTCAGGAACAGCAGCGGGTACTTGTTCTGCTTCAGCCGGATCCTGCAAACCGAGGACCTCGCCTTGCAATGGGCCCGAGCCTCAAGAGCGGCCGTGTCCCAATCTAGCTTTCCCGATGTTCGGAATACTTCATTTGTATTCCAAATGCTGATTGTTGGGCAAGTTGGTATTGTACATGAGAAAACATAATTGCACTTTAAGACAAGGACAGAGGAAGAGCAAACACCACAGAGCGCTAACCTTCGACCGATTTATTCCAAGAGCCTCAACGTAGATACGCACTGCATCACCGCACCACATCTCAATCAATCCGTGGCCCGGCCACGAACCGCCACAGTCCTGATATGCATTAGGTGAGGGTGGAGGGGGATCGGAAAATTGGAAAGGCCGATGCCGTGTGTCTTGTGGTGCGGGTCGTTTGTTGGAGTTGCAGAGTCTACTATGTTTGAATAGAATATTATTTAGCCATAAATTTATAATATTAGCCTCTTGACATCCGCGGCCCTCACAGAGGAAAGTGAAGCGGGTAAACCCACACTACCGAGAAAAGCATCTAACAAAACGCACGCTACTGCGTTGCTCGGTTACGCCAGTTTCTTATGCTCGCGGCTGATATATTAGAACAGTTTGTTTCACTTGTTTCAGTTGTCCTGCCAACGAACAGCATCCGTATCGTAAATAGAAGAGGCACTCTTTCCTCACCGCAATGTAGTAGAATTGCTCCGACTCCGAAAAACTTACCCACACCATGGCACAGTAAAGGAAAGAATTGGCTGCATTGCAGTGGAACCGAATAGAACGGTAATTTCCAATATAGCACTAACTCCTCTTCATAATAAATATTTATATTACTGCCCAAGCTAAAAGTTACAAAAACAAAAATGCATAGAACCTGCGATTTCACAGCCTACAGTACCCATATTATGTTATCCAGGTTGGAATTAATTGTTTCGATGAATTTCCATGCTGGTGAACCGACACATCCATTTCAAAATAAACAAACATTTAACATAACTAGTGCAGTTCACACAGAGGCAAGCATTTGTCGTGGTGATCCATGCTTCCCAACGTCTGCCTAGAGCAAACGACGCATTCACATGTGCGATTATTTGAATTTAGGCCGTACGCTGGCAACACAATTCAATCTTCACTGAAGCATCGAACGGTACCGCACCATTTTCTGCTAAAATTGGCTTCCCACCGATACTGCGCGACAAAGTAAACGCAAGAATCTACACCGTCTCGCGCGCGAACATGGGGAGCCCATGGGGAGGCCGTGTTTCTGTCCCCGCTTTGATGATGATGATAGCACGACGGTAGTGCCACCTCTAGGTTGATCTCGAGACAATAGGCCCATAGAGGCCTACAGTAGAACGAATATCAGAATACCCCCATCGGGATCAAACTTGGGACTGCGTGATTCCCAGCCCTACCACGCCAACTGAGCCAAGCAGAGCAGGCGCATGCGGACAGCTTTGCTCACTGACACTAGATCGGGGACACAGAATCTTGCCTCACTCTAGCCACACACAGATCAGACCCCCATCGCACACAGACAGCAGACGCAGCCCACACACTTCATGCGCGTACTAGCCAGGGGCTCAGATCAAAATTCCGTGGCAGTTCTATTTAGGAAACCGGTATCTTTGGCTTTTCTGCGGTTACAGGTTTTATTTTCCGGTTACCAGTTAAGCGATTCTCAAAAGCAGTCTCTTTTATTACCCAGAATGATCTTACTTTTCCTATCTTAACTTTTCTCCAGGATTAACTTTACTTTCTCCTCGAGGACTTGTTTTATTTGAGGCTATATGTTTCTCTCCGAATTAATTGCATCAAGTAGCCCCGATATTGGACAATGATTTGATGAGGAGAAATAAGTCGTGGCAACTCCCAGTTCCAACAATTCTAATGTGCGTTCACCTTCCCCGACTGCTCAGGGCATTCTTATATTTTGCCTCCGAGGCTCTCGTATTTCATATTATTCGCGACTGCTTTTAACGGAAAAACAGGTTACATATTATATACCAGGGTGTCGAACCGGAACCGAACCGAACCGAAAACCGGAACCGAACCGGTATTTTTTCCGGAACTGAACCCGAACCCGAACTGTTATATTGTTATCGCGATGAACCCGAACCGGAACTGAACTGGAAAAAAAATAACGGTTACCGGCTCATGTCAAAACGGTTCGGCCATGCGCTGTTGACAATGAATGTGCTATCAATGCCATTTGTTTTTTACGTGCCGTCAACTGACACACACCTCGCTACATATTTTTCTTCTCCACTCAGTCTTAGGAATATAAACGCTGCATCCATGAATCTTGACAAACGCTGCATCCATGAATCTTGACATAGGAACCAGTATTGCGCTGGTCGCGGCTTGCACGGAAGAAAAAAAATTAAAAGGCTGTGCAGAAAAAAAAAAAAAAAAAAAATCGCATCACGAGATTTTCTTTATCTACAGTCTCGTAAATCCTAAATGCTGCTGTGTGCTCATTTCATAACACGTTTCTAGAACGTGCGAGTTCTTGAAGCTTGCTTCCATCGGAATGAGAAAAGAAAAGGCTGTGGAGTTTGATAATAATGCATGCGGTTTCATATAGGCACTTAGAAGCTAACATATTTGTGAGACAGCGAACTCTTCTATCTTAATATTTATCCTATTACGTCCTTCTGGCGTTGCGTTTGGTGAAGTGTTTTTCATATTCCGTATCTTGTTTAATGAAAACTTCTTTAAGGGTCTAATTTGAGTTACCGAAGGCTAGTTCAAATAAAGAAAGCTGTATTTTCTCCCCACTGTTCCTTCAATTGCTTACACGCCGAGGTGGCGGGATAGTTAGCGAGTTCTACTTGTAAATGGGTTTGTAAGGAGGTCGCGGATTTTACAGCTACTGGGTCGGACCCAATTAGATGAAGTCCGAATGCGTAAACGTCGGTGAGGTAACCTTTGAGTGCACATAAAGAAATCATTCCTGGTAGAAATCCCTGAGCCTTACACTACGATGTATCCCGTTTCGTATGTGCTGATTTCAGATGTTTTATTTGTAATTTATTTTGATGTTGCAATTTGTCATTTATAATTTCCGAACCGGTTCGCGGACCGAATTAATCGAACTGGAACTGAACCGGAACAAAATAAATTTACCTGAACCTGAACCGTAACCGAACCCGTATTTTTTTCGATTCGACACACTGTTATATACAACTCTAAAAACACCGTTTTCTATGAAAACAATATCTCTGCCTCTTGGTCTTACAGGTGCTCTTGCAAACAATGCTAGGAAATTCCTATTGGGAATTTCCTCCCATTAGCAAGTTGATAATTTTTCCTATTAGGAATGTCTTTCTCTACATCATTAGCAGTGGTGGAACTGACAAGAGGTGAATTGGAGCATAGAAAAACGAGTTTTGGAGCAGATATTTCCACTTTTAGAGCAGACAGTTTTGTGCTTTCATGTCAGAAGATTTTATACAATCTCTGAAAGTTAGCCTGTGGGAAAAACTGCAGTTGTTGGAGTGTTGGGAGGCTATTAAAAGTGTCACACCTACAGAGGACCTGGTCGCTACAGAATATTATTGATTTGAACAATCATATGGTGGTATTTTGCAGATGTCTGTGTTAGACAGAAAAAGATGTTTTTGGATACTTTGTATCACGCTGCTCTTGCTTGTATTCCACCTGCTACTGTTCATAGAGCAGCTAAGCTCCGCTTAGCTGCTTTATGAATTTTAACAGATCACAATGCTTCGCTGCTCTATGAACTCTAACAGATCACAATGAATAGCACTAACTATTAGTTACAATCGATGTAAGCACCATTCACACAAAAACCGATAACGCTTCATTAGGCCTGTGCAAATAATGGATATCGGATTTGAAGCAAATTTAAAGTGAATACAGTTGAACCTCAATTTAGCGAAGTCACCAGGACCCCCTAATTATTTCGTTAAATCGGGAACTTCGTAAAGTCGAGAAAGACATTCTTCGGGATAGGCTGCGCGGGGAATCCGAATTTGTTCGTTAAATTGGGAAACTCGTAAAATCGGGTTTCATTAAATTGAGGTTCAACTGTAGTGGTTTTGGCAAAATACCTTTGAATTTCATATTGAATAGTTGCTGCATCTTTCACTACTGTTACAACATGTTGAAACAAAAATTCAACTGAACTTGCAAAGGTCGTTCCCAAGCTTCTAATTGCCCACTTATGAGCTCTGCTAAATTTAATCTAGCTATATTTATAGACTGGCCTCAGACAGTTCAATACCTACACTGGGATGGAGAGTAACCGGGATATTGCATAAAATTAAACCTATAAAGAAGCCCCACCATACTTAATTAAGGGGACTTATAAATCTTCTTGTTGTATGTAAATGTTATGTTCTATTCTGAATTAAAACAAAAAAAAGAAACAAGCACACATAATGAGCACAGGTTGTTAGAACATCGCTGCCTAACATTACTCTTGCACAATAGCCACAGTTAAATTTCGAAGATTTTACTGCAATGTAAATAACAACTGCAACGTCTCCTGTTTTTTTTTTTATTTTTTCTTTCTTTTTCTAGTGCACTAGACACTTGCGTGCACCAGACCACTTTGAAGGAGTGTTTGTTGCATGAGCGTGCGGCTCCGCTGCGAGGAAGCGAGTCACAAGATCGCAATGTCAGCTGCGCGGGTATTGCTTCTGCGCAGTGCACCGTTTTTTGAGGAGAAGCGCACTCAAGGCGGCTAACCCGCCGCAATCCACACATCGAAAAGTAGGAATACTGCAGTTCATTTTGAAGAGAATATAAATAGCGTATTATTTGAAACCTCTATCCGAAAATTTGAATATTCGCGTGACCCTCCTCTTCACATGTAATACTTAGGCACCCGAGAAAAAAAAAATTTTGCTTCCTTAGTTTCTAATGGCATCGCCAACAATGCTACGTGCCAGACAGTTCCTTTGTCGAGAACAAGCACAGATAATGGCACAGATCATGGCACAAATAGTGCACAAACACAGCCTTTGGAGCAGCATGTAGCAGGCTCTGGCGCAGTTTGGCCCAAATGGCGCAGCAGTTCCACCATTGCGTTAGAGTAGAAGTAGAAACATTTAAACATTGTAGTGTATAATGTATCACATTCCGCGAAAAATGTGAGAAACAAACAATAATGAGCAACTTTCATCGTCATACTCGGTCGGCACCCACAATTTGGCGATGACGTCCCTCACCTCCAAAATCACTCATTGCACTAGAGGATACCTAGCCGGCCACTCTGGCTAGATATCCTCTAGTTTTGTTGGCTCTCCGTCGGTCCAAAAGGTGTCGTCTTTTTGAGCGTAAAGTCAAAAGCGAGGCTGCAATTTCAGTCGTTTACGATCGAAGTTGTCCGAGTCCAGCTAGCTGCGAACTTGGGGCACACACAGAGGCCGCATTAACTCGTCAAATACACAAGGTCTCCAGTAAGCCGATGGAAGAGATGCTTCCTCTTAGAGCACAGGGAGCGTTTGCAATTTGATGATGGACGCCTCCTACGGAGATTGGTTACCAGTGTGCCAGCTTTTTCCTCCGCAACCCGCTATTAGAACAAGAACGCTAATTATATACGTCAAGTGTTCATCCAGTCATGCACTGGGGTTGGCAAAGAGTAATGCCTGGGTTGAGCTCGAGACATTGTTAGAGTTCGGCCATTCTTATCTTCGATTAAGCACGAGCCATTACCCGAATGTTTGGCGATGCTGATTGTCATAAACCTGAGCACTCGGCCACTTGATTCTGGCTAACAACAATCGACTATGTCACAGTGTCACGTGACTCGGTGTGAGAAATTGCGATGCCATGTCATGTCACGGTGTCAACAACGCAAATAAATCTAGTAACATTCTCAATTTAAGTAGGGTAGACGCAGTCAGACACGTGACTATGTCACGGGGCCACATGACGTGACATTACTTGATAGCATGTCTTGACACCACGAGTCACGTGACGATGTAACACGACTAGTCGTAGTGCGAAAACAGAAGCACCAGGAAGATCCGCAATCTCTCATAAATTGGAATTCGGCGTACGACAATTTGATCAGTACATAGAAATACAGTTGCCAATTTTTCTTTCTCAAACACTCATCCTGGAATACTTAAAAAAAAATTGCCGTCAAATGGCTCGAACCGGTTACCGCTATATTTTTTTCCGGTTCAGTTCCAAGATGGCGGCAAAGATTTAGATTCGGTTCAGTTCCAGTTCGGCTAAAATAACGGTTTGGTTCCGGTTTTTGGTTCAGTTTGATTCCGGTTCGACACTCTGGTCAACACCACCGAGCCAGTGTAAACTTTTTAAAATGTTTGGATCACGACAAAATGAAGTTTCCACAAAACACAAGCACCCATTTCACAAAATTAACTTTCTCCTCAAAATTTTTTTTTTCTGGCGCAATATTTATGTGGCAATAATTATTTTGGGTTTGGGAACACGCTTTTATTTCATGCTCGTATTTTGAGTCAATGTACCGATAAAGAAGCCTGTTCGGGAATTACTACATAACTATTTTTTAAAAAAAAATGTTTTTTTTTGGGGGGGGAGTTTATTTAATGTTGTACGTGAGCAAGCCAGGAATTAAAAAAAGTGGTTTTGGGAGTGTCCCTAGGAGCGACTTTAAGACACGCTTCTCTCTCGGCTCGACACGAGAAATAAAAGCACCTTTCGGAATCAGTTCAAGTCAAAACATGTCTCGTAAAATGAAGATTGTGCTAAATATTTGCTCTTCTTTCTTTGATAAAATTTTATTTTGTGACATGGTGAGGCAGGACGAGAGAGCTCACATGGTGCAGATGTCCGGGTGGAAGCAGGACAGGATGATGTAGCGCTTGCCACTGAAGTCCAGCAGCGTTTTGAGCACAATGTCCAGGTACTGGTTCATGTCGAAGTTCAGGTCCATCTCCCAGGTCCCGTCCTGCACGGGTCACCCACATTCAGCACACCCCGCCCAAGCGTCTGTCCGCCTGGAAGCCTCGCGACCCCAGAGTTGGAAAAACCTGACCCCAACTTGGAAACCCTAATCGGAGAAAGTCTAAGATGTACCCTAAAAACCCGCATATAATATGAGGATTTTTTTCCCAAAATGTTTTCCAGTAAAATTACTGCAAGTATTATATGTGGATACAAATGATTCGAAGCTCTAGCTCTTGCGGGGTTTGTAAAGAGTTCAAGCAGTTTCGGTTTTCGGACACCGTCCTTGGTGGCAAGCTGTGCCACCAACCGATGCCGACAGTACACAGTCGCCGAAATGTTTTCAACAGATTGTGTGCCGACGTTGGCGACGTGTCCAGTTCTCTTCACGCATTCCACCAAGCTGCGTGACGGCATTGCCACAGAAGTGGTGCTCGCCCGGATTTAAGGGGAGATGCGGGTTAAACACTTGCAATATTCTGCAAAAACAAGGTGATTTAGAGTTTTAAGGGATTTTTTTTTTTTCTTTATTTCTGATGTATTAAAATATTTAGTGCCGGTTATGATCGCGTGGCTCTTCAAGCTGTGACGTCGCCCGCCGTCACATTTTACGTTGACAAGTAGGCCTAGCTGTCTCCTCTCCATTGCAGTCTTCTGTGGCTTCAAGTTCTCACGAAAATTTCTTAACAAAATATTTTCTGCACCACGAAAAAGTACTGCCACACATCTATGGTAACATTCCAAACCCTTTTCCTTTAAGTATTTTAAGACATTGTCACAGATGTGTGCAAGAATTTTTGTTCTTAATGTTGTCCTATCACAACCAAATGTAGTATGCACATTCATGGTATTTCAAGGTAAACATAAACAATTAATGGCGCAACTCCCTGCGGCCGAGATGGCTTCCGATTGACCAGCTCCTCGCTCTCTCTCCTCTTCTACATTTCTTCTTTGTCCCCAGTCCAATTTTGGTTTCAAACATTTGCGTTTTCTTACTTTACAAAAAGTATATGAGACGCTGTGGCGAAATAATGATTGGCTAGTCTTCTGACACCATAATAAATTGCCTGGCAAAAAATAAAAAAAAAAATTTTGGGGGTGTCATTGTTTCTTTAACTCCAATTATTGAGTCAAATAGCGCATTTAGAAATCCATCTCAAGTTGAGCAATGGGAATGGAACGCTTATTTTACGCGTCTTACGGCATTTATTTCTCTCCGACAGCATCATATTTTCCGCGGCCTCGACGGACACCCACGGAGCTTCCCGTCTGCTAAGCTTCCGGGGTTGCGACAGTCCGGTACGCACCAGTGCCTACAGCTTCGGCGTTTGCTCTTCCGCAACTTCCTATAGCAATGTTAAGAATAAAAGACCAAAAACGCACGAATCAACACCTTCCGATTGATGCGCGAAGAGCCCCCCAGCGAGCAGGCTGGTGAAAGGGCCTTCCCAGCATCGCATATATTTTGAGCTAGACGGTGCAACCCGTCACTTGAAACTTGATTGCCTAAGAATATGCTCAGTTTCCCTTTGAGTCGGAGTGGACGACACGAGCCGACTCGACTAATCGCAGCGAAGAGGAAAGCGGGTGAAAAGGCAGAGACATCTGCGGACAATGGACGCTCATGTCACAGATGCTGCCCATAAACCGCCCCCGATCGAGCGGTACGCAATTCCTCCAGGAGGCTCACCCTAAACTGCATGGGGCACTTGATCTCCACGTTGAAGCCCACCGAGGGGTCGACGGCCTCCAGCACGTGCTGCAGGGTCGGGAAGGGCTGGTTGTCCTCCAGGTCGTCCTCCCGGAAGTCATAGCCGTGGGCGGAGGAGCCCTGCTGGGCACCCTCGCAGGCGGGGGACAGCTTCAGCCGCTGCAGCTGGCATGCCGTCAGGTCCTTCACCGCCAGCTTCAGCTTCTCCTCCTCCTGGACAGGCGACTTGCGCTGCGAGAGAGGGTCCCGCTCCGTGGGCCGTTTGCCGGCGTGGAGCACCTCGCAACTAGGCCGCACGTTTTACACTTTGTTTCAAAGGAAAATTTGCAACCGTTTGTTGGCATTTATTTTTTTTCAAAAATCGGGTCCATTTCGGAGATTTGTGATCTTCCACGGACGGTAACGATGGCCATTATTGGTGCAAAGAAACAACTTGCCGCGACCGCAATATGCGGTGTTGCTGCTGTTATTGCCGAGCCACGTAAGACAAAAGTGCCAACATACCATACAACGCGTCGGAACGGAATTGTGCGAAGTCGTGACCCAACTAGAACTTTCCAAAGCGTCGTACAACCCGTCCGAAGTTCGTTGCATGCGCGTATCGCCCTCAACACCCATCCTTGTTTTTTGTCACTCGCTAAATGTCGGTACCTTCCAAAACACGCTGCCGCCAGATGCGCATTTTAAGTGCAGAGACCATCAAACGATCGCCTACCGCTCTGGGCAATGGCAGCAAACTTAATTTTGACCTCTCGTTTGCCTTTCTGCCCTTCACTTCACTCGACCATCCAACTAGAGTGAGCGAAACAAGTTTGCAAACTTACTAAAACGAGAGCAGTTTTTCGACGAATGTTGTTAGACGCTGCGCAACTCTATACATACGACACTGAGGAGGCCACGTGCCTTCACCGAAAACGGCCTCAAACTTCCCGACGCGACGGCAACATCAGGCAGAGTCGTGCAGGATAAGCCCACAAAACTGGCTTCGAGTGTAGAATTCCTCCCTCCCTCCCCTCCCCCTCCCCCATCTCCTCCCCCTCCCCCTCCCTTCCCCCCCCCCCCCCCCTCCTAAAAAGAAACCAACCGAGGCAGGAGGCTCACCTTCTTCATACAGATGCAGATGTAGTAGTCGTGATAGATGACGGGCACCTTGTCCTTGGAGAGCTGCACGTCCAACTCCACCATGTCTGCCCCCTGTGGAAGCCAAACAACTCGGGCTCACATCACGCTACGGACAGACCACAACAAAGCAAGCGGTAATCCAGCGATGGAGAATGCGAGCTGGCGCAGGTTTACTGTTTTGTTAAAACAGCCGAGAATGGCCAAAGGTATGTAAAGGAATCATCATCATCATTTATTTGCCTCGAGGGCCCGTGGGGCATTATACAAGAGGGTGGCAATAGAACAAAAAAAAGAACAGTAAACACTATAATAACACTGTAATCTAGCTAGGTAGGTTAGATAGAGAGGGTAATGGCTTCAACAAATTTAGGAGTACCATTAAAGGGATACTTCAACGAAATTTGAAATATTCCCGTCGTGTTCAAAAGTAGGTTGCATATGATCCACAATATCCGTAAATGACAATCGCACCTCTGTATTTTGAGCCTGGTGGCTGTATTTTTCGTTATAAACGGCCCACTCTGGCAAGCGCTCGGAGAAGGCCCAGCGGAGACCACGTGACATCCAACGCAATCGTGACGTAGGTCGTCTCAGGACGAGCAAAGCTATGGCGAGGCTGACGTCGAGCAGATGGCCTAGTCGTTCCAGCCACCGAAGCGGCTGCTTTTGTACGAATTTTGAGTGACGGGTTAATCTTTTATAATCTTGCAGAGGGACAATAGCGACTTCTGCGACACACAAAAGGCATTCTCGGGAAGACGGGAGTTCCTCCTTCCCCTCTTCTCTCGTCGTGGCCGGAGGCGAGACAATCTCCGTCACTAGCTGTCAAGGTTCCTAGACGGGCATTATAAGCGAGGCGTTAGCGACATCCACCAGGTGCTCATTGCTAATCGTTTAATTCGTTTTAAAATTCCTTTTCGTGACTTTTTTAACAAGATATTGGTACGTTCAATGTGATGTTGCTTTTTTGAACACATATAGGCGAAAAAATGAGCGCCGAAATTTCGTTGTAGTATCCCTTTAATAGATACAATGTTGTGAGGTAGTGAATTCCAATCCTCGATGACCAATGGTAGTGTGGAAGTCTGGTGAGAAACAGTTGATGATCGAATTGGACGTAGTTTACATAGGTGATCTAGACGCGAGAAAATACAATGGGGAGGTGATAGCAGTGATTCTTTGAGGTGGCTGTTGTGATAAAAATATTCTGTGGAGGAGAAATAGCCGTGATACTCGGCAACGAAGGGAAAGTGAATGAAGGTTAAGGCCCAATCACACTCTTGCGACCTCTTTGAACTGGGTGCCTTGAAACCTCTTACGAGGACACACTAGCGCCATCGATTGGGTAGCAGCGTAATCTTGGCTATGCGGCATACTTTCTATTTCTCTCGCACATTATCCTTTCTTCCTCGGCTCGAAAAACTTTTGTCAACGTTATAAACGAGCCTTTCTTATAGGTATTACGCACATTTGACCTTGGAAATTCCGCAAAACCTTCACTGCTGTGAAATGCAGTTCCAGGCTCACCGCATAGATGGCGCCAGAACGCCTATGTATTCTCTCATCCCAAGATATTTTAAAAGGTTTCAACAGGTCTCATCTCTCTCTCTCGGTCGTACCCGGTTTCAAGCGTGTGAACGGGCTTTAGGTGATTGGCGCAATCCTAATACGTATGCCAATATATGGTGAGTAGTTGTTATAAATGAAATGAAGGGCTCTGTTTTGGACGAATTCTAGATTATTTGCGAGGTAGGACTGCCATGGGGACCATATAGATGAGGCGTATACTAACTTCGACCTGATAACAGTACTATACGCTAGTAGTTTTACGGAGGATGTAGCAAGTTTGAGGTTACGGCACAAATATCCGAGAGAATGGTTAGTATCAGAAACAACAGAAGTTATGCGCATAGTCCATGATAGGTCAGAGGTGAGATGAACACCCCGGTATTGATAAGATGAGCATGCTATTACCTGAGTGTTAGAGAGGTGATACGAAAATGGTGTGGCACGCGAACCGCGGGAAATGATGGTGATCTACATTTATTAAAGTTTAACGTCAGCTGCCAATTTTTACAGCAATGAATTACAGAATCAAGGTCTTCCTGAGGAGCATGATGTTCATGGTGTGAAAGAATGGGTCGGTAAATGACACAATTGTCGACGAACAGGCACACAGAAAAAGCTGTATTAAGTTGGAGATCATTAATATAGATTAGGAACAGAAGGAGGCCAAGTACGGTTCCCGGGGGGAAAGGTGACGTTACGGAAGAGGTGGGAGATTTTAGGTTGTTAACGGAGGAATATTGTTTACGGTTAATTAGGAATTCAAAAATCCACTTAACAACAGAGGGGGCGAATATTAATATTGGTAAGCTTTGTTAAAAGACGTTGGTGGGGAACTTTGTCGAATGCTTTGGAAAAGTCAATAAAAATTGCGCCGGTCTGAATATTCTAATCGAAGCTTGAATAAATATCAGTAAGGAAGTTGGTTTGCCGAGTTCCACATGCGTAAGATTTACGAAATTCGTGCTGATGTTCAAAAAGAATGTTGCGAGAGTCAAGAAAGTTTATTATATTTGAGTAAAGTATATGATGCTCCATGAGCTTAGTTGGAACACTGGTGAGAGAGATGGGACGGTAATTACTTATCAGTTGGCTATCACCAGTTTTGGAAAGAGGTTAGCTATTTTCCAGTCACAGCTATGGAAAGCATGAGCGACTGAGATAATGTCACAGGGGAAAACAGAGGAAATGTGTTTAGTGTTTATTAATACGTTCGAATTAATTTGGTCGTCTGCAGAGCTGGAGAAGACCTTTAGGTTGTTTATTGCTTTCAATACGCCTGCGTGGTAAATTATGATAGGATTCACCTGAGGGTGAGATAATGGGCATGAGTCAGGGACGTTTTGCAAGTCTTTTTTAGTAAAGATAGAAAGCAAAATGAAATGGGAAAAGAATGACCGAAGAAAACGCCTGAATTTCGATAAATCTTCAGTCGTTCAATCCCTGGTTCTTTTGAGTTTTGATGGCCTTGTGCCTCCCCAGCCCGTCTGAGCCCTTTAGGGAAATGAGGAACAAGGAATGCATCCTGGGACTCACGTGCTTGGCGGCATAGTTGAAGGACGCCACCGTGTTCTCAAGGACGTTTTCCACCCTGAAAAGAGTCAGTTGGCTCCAGTGGTGCCAGAATGTCTTGGCAACAAGGTTAGTTACAAAAGCAAAAGGGCTTGGTGGCTAGCCAGCTAGCTACGTTGGATGCAGTTCAATACTTGTGGAGTCAAAAATTAAAAGTGCATTCATTATGTGAACGCACAATTATGTCCAAATATTGATGGCCGTTGTGGGGGGTGCGTTCATTATGTGACTAAATACGGAAAAAAACCGACGTTATTAGCTGACCCATAGAGATTATGTGTTCATGTAACCTCTAGAGTGGTAGTTCTCAAAAGGGGGTATGGGGGCTTTCAGGGCCCCTAAAGGTCTTGGGAGTCCCCCAAGCCCTCGACTGCCTGTAGAGCGGAGCAATAAACCTTTTCTTTTTTTTGCTGATGCTGGCTGTTTCGAAAAGTTAAACAGACCAGACCGTGTGCACCAAGTGAGTAGGGTTCATTCTTCATTTTAGAGCTTTTAGGTGACAGGTCAAGAGGGGAAGCTCCTCTTTGGCAGAGTGGACGCCGGAGAGGAGGTCGCCTCCTCTCCGGCGTTCGCTCTGCACATGTGGAAAGGGGAGCTGTCAACTTGTCACCGATTGCGGCAATTACTGATCTTGGCGCACGGGTTCCCGAGTGGCGAGGTGCAAGAGTGCCATACTTGTCCGTCCGCCTGGCATGTCCGGCGCCCCGGTGTCCGACGTCCAGGCTCCGGTTGGTCTTCTTCCAGAGCTTGGAGAATGTCTGGCGGCAGTTGCAGGAGTAGCCCACCAGGGGGCGGACAATCAGGTATGACACTGCGGGTGGGAGAGGGCGCCTTCCAGACACCGCGGCAGTTGCGACAGTCCCACGCATCTTTCGGCCAACGACTGCGCCATGTGTCTAGACGGCGAGACGTTAGTAGGCCCTAGTGGCCGTTCGCTGTACACAAGAAACTTTGCCAGCGTGGTACCACTGCCGGCCCATAGTTTTAACACTCAAGAGCCCCGGACAAGCCCAGCTAGTCTGCGGCTCTCTGGTTAAAAATGCCACAAACAAGCTCTGCTCGTCCAGTGGTTCTTGCGGTAGCCCTCAATTCCACGGATTCGACCGCATGGTTTGCGGCACTTATCATAGAGGGCAACACTCGTTTTAGTTGGAGTCTTTTTTTTTTTTTTTTTGCCCCCGTCAGTACGATAAATAAAAAGGTACTAATGGCGTCACTAGCCAATGCAGCATGTGGAACTTGATCGCAAAAGAGAAAAGCGATCGCTGAAGAAAGCTTGAGTGACTTGGAAGAAGTTGAGTTTTGTTTGTCGAGTGAACATGATGGTGACTTTGTTGCTGAACTCAGCCCTTCGAGTGAATCCAATGACGATGACGATAGAAACTGTGGCAACGGTTCCACACAATCCTCAACCTCTAATGAGGTGGCTGCACCATACCTGAGGTTTCAGCCCAAAAACATCGAGACTGCCCTAATTTACTGTTTTTCTTTAAACTCAACTCCAGAGGATGTAAGATGCTTAACGCACATGCAAAAATGCGAGATGCTTTCCGCATCCACACAACTGTAACAAGGTCACGCAGAAATATACAGATTTTTGCGTAATAAACTTCTGAAATTCTACCTGTGATACAAGAGGAATACAACTCCTCAATAAAAAAGTTTGCCATTTTTAGGTCAGATTAAAAAAAAAAAAATAGTGGTACTTAAGGGGCTAATGTGCATCACGATGTGGTGACACACAATCGCACACCGGTACGACGCTTGTCGTGATCAAGACGGGGACGGGATGGGGACTGAACCAAGCACCCCCAGGTTCTGCAGCACAAGCTTTCACTCCTCGTGCTGCGGTGTAGAAAGGCCTACTCCAGCAACTTCTTGAGCTGCTCCAACGTGTAACTACATTTTCTGAACCCCCACCTTCACCCTTCCCTTTACCCTATCGACCAATCGGGATTTTCCCATCCCACCGACGCCGGCTTTGTTGCGACACGAGGTCCTAAACGCTATCGTGTTAAAACATTCAAAAGACGTCAGCTACGTCAGAAAAAGCGCGTTGAGCCTTGCGTGCACTATCAAGGACGGTGATATTATATCCTAATACCGAAAGTGCGCCTTCTCACGGCCGTCGCACGAGACGACCCCTCTCCGGAGTTCCCCAACCGGGTCCGTCCACAAACGTCGGCTCTGACGGCACGACTATGCTGCCTGCAATGCGTCTCCAACAGTCGATTGCGCCCAAAAAAGAGCTTCCTCCATTTTTACCCGACGATGTCCTACAAGCCTTGCACCATCGCTGGCTACAACCTTGACGCCATCGCGGCTATGGTAACGCAAGCGGCGGATGCATGTTCCACCGCGGGTCGCACTCCGGCTCAACGGTTCGTGGGAGCTTCGGCGGCCGGAGGTTGGAATGACGGCGACGCTCGCGTTTGCTTGCCCCTTTTGCCGGACCTTCTACGACCGACCGCAGGATTGCGGCGACCGAGAATGCGACGCTCGGGCTTCTGCGACTCCATTTGTTAGCACTTCGAGACCGCTTTCGAGGCACAAGCGGAATGGCAGCCACGCACGCCGGTCCGAGACGCATCGGGGACGGCGGGTCCGAGCAACTCACCGACGAGCTGGCCGACCGGCTGGTGGCGGTTCCCGGTGATGGGCACCGTGCAGCTCCCCGAGGCCTCCCTCAGGTTGCCGGGCAGGACGTAGCTGAAGCCGATGTGCTCTGGCAGCGAGCCCTCCGGCCGCGGGTGCACGTAGAAGTCCACCATGTAGGCCTAGGCGCAAGACCGGGCAGACGGTCAGAGACGCTTCGCGCTTGGCCGGAACCTACCCCTCGCTTTCAAAGCAGTCCGAGCAGTTCCGCCTACGGAGAAGTAGTTTAAAAGCACAGCCGTCCGACGACACAATGAAGACAGAGACATGCATATTGAAGCTTATGACCTCCAAATCCCAGAGCGAGGTCGTTCCTCATCCGATTCGAGCTTTTGGCCAGACGCTACTAAAACGAAACGGTCGGAGGTAGGGTTTTGCGTATTCAGTAAATAACAAAAAACCCATAAGTTAACTTCCCAGCCGGTTTTATCAAACTCAAAAAAAAAAACCAAAAAAATCCAAAATGTCCTCCTCACAAAAAAAAAAAAAAAAGCCAGGCTTGGTGGCGAGGAAATTTTTCTCTACGGCTTTAATTTGCGAACCCAAAAGCAGCTCCCAGTGAATCGATGCAGCTCCTTTCTCGGGAACATGGTGCCTTATCTCGTACGCGGACGTTGGAATCCCGAAGTCCTTCCTCGGAGGTAGGGGAGCTCCCTACTCGTGTCCCTTATTTTTTATTTTTTTCACCTAACAAACCGAAATTTTTTGTTCTACACCAAAAATAGTATTTAGAAAAGAAGGACGCCGAATCTGCTGGAAAAAGAAATGATCCCCAATAAATGCCTGGGATTCGGAAAAGAATACACCCCAAAAAAAATGGAACCCTAGCTATTAAGGAAAAAAGCGGAGATTCTGACAAAATACAATGGAACCCGGATATATTGAACTCAAGGAGGATCGTAAAATAGTTCGATATATCGATAATTCGATATACAAAAATATGTTAACTTAAGCTCCAGTGGAAACTTCCGCGCCTCTCTGCTAATACGGAAGGCCCTGACAAACGGGACCTTACCAAATAGAGTTTCCAAAAGCCGCTAAATACATAGAGCTTAGTTGGTGAAGATCACAAACACCACCGGGTTTAAGCGACCGTGTTTACGATTGTTTCCGCCAGGCCACGACCTTCACACAGCGTCATCTTTTTTTTTTTTCATTTAAAAAAAAAAGAGAGAGCCGTAGAAGGGTGTGTACTTGGGCTAGTTGGTTATTCATGAATAGGAGGTAAAAGCGCTAAAAAACGACGGACAAGTTGAAGAATGACGAACACCACAGAGCGCTCTGTGGTGTTCGTCATTCTTCAACTTGTCCGTCGTTTTTTAGCGCTTTTACCTCCTATTCAGAGAGAGCCGCGTTAAAAAGAAATTTGATCCATAGAATAAAGTTAAACAAGCAACAAAAAAAGAAACTTCACTAAACTCCGGCAGCAAAAAAAAAAAAAGGCAAAAAAAAAAACGCGCCAAGCAAAACTGGTAAAAGAAAAAGGTAAACAAAGATAGGGCGTTCAAAGCGCGATTGCTCAACCGTTGTGGACACACTCCACTTGACAAAGACTTTCTTTCTTTCTTTTTTTTTTTTTTTTTTTTTTCTTATTTTATTTTGGGGCTAAGGAGTCGCGCGGCGACAGCGTACAGCGGTGTTCGGGGAAAGGGCGCACGCTCCCGTTCCAACAGCGGGCACGCCCTGCCCTCCCTACGCGCACCTGCCCTTCCCCTTGCTTTTGCCATCCTCCACATATTTTTTAACGTTTTTTTCTTTAACAACTGTTTTTGTTGTTGCGCATCTTGGCACGCGTACGCTGGCTTCGCGGTCTGCCAGCCCCGCAACGCGAGCTATGTGCTCACCGCCTGCGTAATTCGACCTCGGGAGAAGCGAGCGGCCGCCGTGCTTCATTTGTGCTTCGATCTCGAGTGTCCCCGCCATGGGAGTTCGATACAGAAAAACAACACTTCTATACAATTCCGTGTTCAAGGGGATGTTTGGACTGTTCGATATAAACAATAATTCGGAATATCCGGGTGTCATAACTGGGCTCGACTGTAGCGCATTTTTATTTTCGAGAACTCGAGTTGTTCGACAGATCCGTAGCTTTAGGCGATCCTGCTAGTTATAATTAGGATGTGCCACTTCAAGTTTACCAATGCCCAAGTGTGATTAGTTAAATAATACTAAGACGATCGCGATTGCCTTCATTATAATACTGCCAGCCACTGCGGGGCAGTTTTACAGAACACCTTTTTTCCTTCCACTAAACCACATTCTGCCACTTTCGCCGTTTGTTTACACGCAGTCACTTACGTATTTCGGCCGCACAAACCCGAATTTATTCCAACTCATTTCGGATTTGCCCCGGTGGCATCTGCAGGCGCCATTTTTCTTCGCCAACAAGTAAACTTCCCAGTCACTGACTCGTCTTTTGTTCAAATAAAGGTGGGTATGTATGAACATTGGGTACCGGCCGATGTTGCTTTGCGTTGCCGAATACTACGGCAGACGCGGCCGTTCACAACGCAAAGACTCCACTGAGCGGAAAACACTGCCTTCGCTTGTAGAAAAACCTGCGGCAAACCTCACCACCCTGGCGCTTGGCAATATTTCAAGCTGGAAGCCCTTCGTGCGAAGCCGCCCCCTTCCACTGCCAATGTTTGTCCAATCCGAATACCTCGCTAACGATAGACGAAGTCAAAAGAAAAGCGCAGTGGCCAGGTGCGTCAGGTGTCCTCCACGAGCAATCACCCACAACCATTCGTCCGAGCGTAAGGTGACTCGACGCCCGTTGCACCAGTTCACACCTGTTACCAAAGAGGGGTGAAAAACTGATTTATGCTTGCAACCCTACCACAAACACAAAGTGATGGCTGCATTATTCGCCGGCCCTCAAGTGGAACATCGATTGTACGTCCCAATGCTCCAGTAATTTCCATCGTGAGATGAGAACTTTCAGGCAAAAACGGTGGGAACCGAAACGCGGCTCGCCTTTGAGATTCCACCCCAAGGACTCGCTTAGGTGCCATTGGGGCACTTCGATCGTAGGCGTAATCGACCGACACGTGCGGAAACATTAAACGCGTATTCACACTGTCCCATCTGTAGTCTGTTGCAGATTAAGAGAAGCGGGACTGGTCTCTCCGACGACGCTCTTCGTTCAACGTGGCTGTCAGTTTCTTTCTTTCCGGCGTTCACTCTGCCGAAATGGAGAGACTGAAGGGCTTTGAAGGAGGAGCTTCACCCGCTTTTCTTAACTTGCAATATAATAGGGCACAAACGTTCTGTCGACAATCAACACCCGGCAGGGTATAAAGTACCGAAACCAATCCAAAGCCCTCGCGCTGTTCAGCCCGACGGACCTTTTGCAAACCGTTCCGCGCCTACCAGCCACACGGCCGCCACGCACAGACCACGTCGTCCCTCGATGCCCAACCAAAAACCAACCAAAACCGAAAGGAAAACACTGACGAGTCGCATCTCGTCGCCGAGTCCGAGGAAACCGAAGTGCCCGAAGGAGCGTCGGCGCCGGAAAGAAGGGAGACGGGAAGGGAGACGAAAGCAACAGGGACGGAGGAAGGGGCGGGAGAAAAGAGAAGGCCCGAGCGAGAGAGAACCGCTTAGGGGGAAACGTACAGCCAAGCCGACCGACGAGACGACAACTCCTCCTTTGTCCGGGAATCCCTGGAACTGGCTCTTGGGGGTTAAACTCACGAGCGCCGATCCCTCTTGATCCGTCGGGAGGGTCTTTTTAAGCGCGGGAAGGGAAGGGCACACCGCGCTGCTAGCCTCCTCCCCTCCCACAAATGAAGAATCGTGCCACAGAGTCGCCGCCGTCGTCTCTCGAAGCAACGACCAACTGCAGCTCTCGTGGCGCAGACGACGATGACGCGCCGAACGTCGCAGTGACGCTCGCCCATGGTGGGGTGGGCGCGAACTTACCGTCGGACACCCCTAAACACAGCCTGAAACAACAAAAGTGGAAGGGCTGTGCGTTAATGCCGGGGTTGCGGCCGAAGGAGCCACGGTCAAGCGGGAGTGGTGCCGCAAGAGACAGAAAGGACCAAAGAAGTGTGCTCTCTCGCTCCCTCCCGAGGCCCCTGCGCGTCTCCGCCGCTGGAACAAAGTCTCCCTCGAGCCGGCTTCCCCGAGGAAACCACTAATGGTCGCCCACTCCGCTTCCGGTCTGAAGTCTACGGACCAAAGGCGACTTTGTTCGACGCACGCGCGACCGCGTCGCTGCAACGCCGGAGAACAGATTGTTTCCAAACGTTGAGCGGGACTTTCTTGCGGCGCAACAAAACCGTGACGGGTCGAAGACGAGTCGGGAAAATGGTGTTTAATGGGGCCACGTAGTTCCTACCCGCTAAATTGAAGGAGGCCTCCTAAATTACGGGTACCATACTTTCGGTTTAAGTCGGTAGCTACAGGCGCCGCAAGCGACTACCAATTGTTCCTATTAATATTCAAGACATGTGTCCAGGTAAAGAGAACAAGAGAGCTAGCAGCCTTATAGAGCGACATGCTGTTTACAAACAAGCCCGCGTTTGCCCACACCAGGTGTGGGCACTGCGCGAGCGCAGAAACCGAATTCGCGTGAAGTGAAACGCCTGCTCATGCACAGTGCCGTAGACAGCGCCACCACAACTGCGTGACGTCAGAGCCGCGTGTTGGTTTATATGTCCCTGCATATTTTCGGCAGTGGGACAAAAGGGGAAAGCCTACACCCAGAAAATGCAAATAAAAGCGGCTGGGTCAAGTGCTCCGATGCGACAACGTAGCCTGAGGACAACATGTTCGGACGTTTCTCTGGTGAGGCACATCAAACCCGTTCACCGAATGGAAACAAGAGTGTCCCTAACACTGACCCTGAAAAACATGCAGTGGAAAGGGCCCCGACTCGTAGCCAAAGCCACCGGCTCTCCTGAATTTTCCGTATCATTCGGACCTGCGCAATCTAACCTTTACGGGGATGGTTCAGCCAGTTTGGAGTTTGGAGCAAATTTTGGAGCAGGAAAAGTCTCGTCTTAAAACACCTTCGTATCAGAAAAGAAAGAAAAAAAATGTGGGGGCAGCTTTTGAGCAGCCCATACACAAATTGAGCAAATTGGTGCAGTTTCCCATCGGTGATGCCGGCATGCATTTGTGTAGCCAGTTGCGTGATGCCCATTCAAAACCCAAAGTTAGCAGTTAAACTGCACTAGCCAAATTGCCCTTCAGCTGCTGTGAAACTGTGCCATAAACTTGGTCAAATTCATGTTTTGTTTTCGTTACTGCTAGTGGATAGAGGCTAGCCGGACTGATGTGAACATGCTATCACCAGTGAGAATTCAACATAGAGTACCAACTTAACCCCCCGGAGTCTACAGTAGACTCTCATTACTTCAAACTCCAGAAAGCCACATATTCTGTTTCAGCTATCAGAATTTTGAATTATCAGAAATTCATCTACATATGATGCAAGATAAAATTATGATTCGCCATATCAAAGGCTAGACATACAAAGCAGATATTTGATGATTTCTCCTACATAGGCCTACTGATCATAAGCAGGTATGCCACACATGAAACATTTGTGAAATGTATGACATCAGTTTATTTATCCCCACAAATGTTTTTTATCATGAACAGCTTGACAGCACATGAAAACTCAAAACAAAATTAAAGCAACGGCACCGAGAGGCAGTTTTCATTGGAACTCACGTGGACACTGCAACGGGTTCCTATGCCATGCGTCACAGCGTCCCCGCAAGTTGCTATAGAAATTTCTGCGTGGTGCCCGTTTTCATAGCTCATGTTTGCCATGCTTGAGCCCTGTTGAGTGCGCTCCACAGGCACGTAGCCAGGGGGGAGGCCCATGGGGCCCGGGCCCCCCCCCCCCACGAAATCTTCCATTTTGCATGGGTCCTTATCTCCCCCTCATACAGCATTTTGTCATGAGTGGGCATCATCATCGATGCACGCAAATTGGTTTCTCCTTTTATTATCTACGTACCAACCGCAAATTATTCCTTTTCAAACTAAAAGGTACGCCCCTCACGCAAGTTGTTACGGTAAGCACGGCGAAATCGAGAAGTCACAATTTCGTCATTGTCCGCCAAATCCTTTTGTAGATTCGGTAAAAGAATATTCAAATAAAACGACTACCGTCCCAAGTTTCCCGTTATAAATTTGTCAGGGTGCCAAATCTTGTAAAAAGATTGCCCGCCTCCCACGAGATTCGATCCAGGGTTCGCCACGTGCGAGGCGGGCGCATTGCCACCAGGCTACGCCGCAGCTTCGTCTAGGCTGCCTAATGTCCCTCCACTTGGGGTAGAGCATTCTTCGTAGTACCCAATGTCCACCGCACGCCCTCTCCGGAAAGCTACGAAGAAATAGCGGATAACAAAATGCCGCCCTTGCACCGTCAATGCCAAGAGCTCGTGCCGGGAGACGCAATTTCATGCACTCCAGATCAATAAAGAAGTGTTTGGAACAAAATAGTCAGATGTCCATTTTGTTCCCAACGCTTTTGTGCATGCGGTGCGCAAACGCGTTGCGGCTGTTGCTCTGGCTGTAATGTGGAATATTTTCTTCGAGTCGGCAGCGAGCGAGTACGGCAACGTCGAGGGAACCGGGAGAGACACCCGATTCTCACATCTGGCTCTTCGTTCGCTCGAGCTTACATGGCCGAGTCACGCCAGCATCCACTTTTGTCTGCGTGACAAGTTGAAAACCCGATAGTCACATTGTACTGTTCGGCATTTCCTCGAGTGGGCTGGCAACTGTCCAGACTGCGGTCGACATGCCTCACTGGCGCTAACGGCTTCCTTTTGTGGGTTCGATGCTCGCCCCCGACGAGCTTTGTTGCCAAATCGTAACGGTACAAAAGTATCTTCCCTCTCGTTTCTGACAGTTAGCATCAACATGCCGAGGTCAACACTTTTGGCGCAAGATGCTCGAGCGACACCGAGCAGATGGTGCCTCACTAGACGTCAATTGCTTTTCTGCCGACATTAATAAATAAAAGATGCATACTAAAACGATACGTTTGAAGCGGTACTTATTCGTCGGCGAAATGCGGTGCCCTTGCCAAGTGTCGTGGTTGCAATCGGCCGAACGGTATATCGTGCGAGCGGCGGTTGCTCCATCCTACCGTTCTCATGCATGAACGCATCGTGGGACGAAGTTACGATCTTCTGCCGTCACCCGCAACGACGCGAGGTACGATGTCTTCTGGCGCAAGCTGCGAGCCTCGCCCCCTCGGCTCGCGCCCGAAGCCTACCTCATCGACGTCGGCCGTGCCGCGGAACGGACGACGTGCCCTTTTCTCGACGACAAAGCCGCTCGAAGTGTTACACCTGCCGGTAAAACCTCTGCCTGGTTCATGACACGTCGTCTCCAGTAACTGCCTGACGCCCGAGATCCCCGGCTGCTAGGCTCCCATTAAAAAAAATACCCAGTTTAATGTTTTTGTATTGCAACTCTTCACCTCAATCTCGAAATCGACCGTTCGTGCATGTCGACAAGATGCCGACCTTCCTTCCAAGACAAAAAACCGAGCGAGTACCGAGGCCCCTATTTTCAACGTTAAGAGTCTGCGCGCCTCAGAAAAGAGTGACGGAGGTAGTCGCAAAGAGAGCTTTCTCGCACCTACCCCGCGTCGCTTCGACGCGTAGAAGGGAGGTTCGAGAGCAGAGGAGAGAGCACAAGTCATCGCCACAGAGGCTCAACCGTGCGGATGTCCAGAAACGGCAGCCACTCGCGAGTGGCAATCAATCTCGGTTGCAAGAGGAGGACAGAGAAAGAGCCAGATTCCTTACGATTGAAGTGGGGTCCAGCACTTGCGCCTGGAAGACCACGAAGTCTTCGGGGGCGTACAGGTTGCCAAACTGGTTCTGGTGCTTGAACTCGCACTCCCCCTCCTTCATGACCTGGATGCGCAGGAGAAAAAAAACTCAAATTTCAAGACCTTTCGTATTCGCCGTCAGACTCCCGCATAGATATCACGCAACCGCAGAAAGCGCGCGGTGTGCACAGGTGTGCACACGCTTCCCTCTTTCACCGCCCACTTCCCGGGAGGAACCAACTGTGCCGACGTATGGCCTCGCGAGAACCTCGAGGTCGTACGCGAGCTTCCGAAATAAACCGGAGGCCTATGCGGGCCTTCTGCATGCGGGGCCGTCTCCGGCTTCACACCGACGTGACCTTTCTTAAGACGGAGACCACGCAGCACCGCGCCGTTTCCCCAAACACTGGCGAATTGAGGGAGACTAGCGGCCGAACACAAATGAGACGTTGCCTCATACCTCTGTTTCGGCTATGCTTGCTGCAAAAACCACGGCGTTGCTCTCTCTGACTCTCATTGAGACTTACTCTAGTAGAGGAGCGTAAGTGTTCGAAATTTAGAATATTTAGCAAATAGTGCTTGCGGCACATTTTGACTGCGCAAAACATTCGAGATGTTCGAATATTAGAAAATGATGAAAAAATCGTAAGCCTTTCAATTCTGTGACGCTGGATGACCAGCGAAGATGTTTAGCACACGACACAGACGTGACACAGAATTTTGAACAAAGGTACGAACACATTTATTGTACCGATCGGTGGTCATCGGGACGAAAGGTACGCACACATATGTCGAGGACTATCGCTGTCCACAGGAGCCGGAGGAAACTAGACACGGGCGACGGGACCGCCACCCGGCGGAAGGTAAGGAAACTATGCACGCAAGCGCTTGGAACGACGACAAAGAGAGGGCGGTGCGAGCCCCCTCTCAGTTTTCGTTGACTCCCACGAAAAATCCACGGAACCCTAGCCATAAACAGCTTTGCCATAAAATGTCTTCAGGATACTGCTTTATCTCGCATCATGCTTCCCTGCTACGTGCCGGTCTGCTATTGGCGACTCCGGCAAAATCGACCGCACCTAGCGGATTGAACGCAAAGCTGTGGCGGCAGGATTGCTCGCAAGCCTTCTTGTGCTAATCAAATATTCCCACCACCCAATGGTCTAAAGACAAAGCTGCAAAAGTAGGTTAGAAAACACGGATGATAAAGAGGAACGGTTTCTCTTTGAGACGCCGCACCACTATCTGCTAGAAGCTACCGGTGGACTTCGAGGACAAGCTTGTCAACTTCCAACGTTATGTGATGAAGCTGCGTCGCGAATCTCGCTACGGACTCGGGCAGATCGGCAATGCCGATCAGACCCCCGTGTTACATCGACATGCCAAGGACGTGCACCGTGATTGAAGTAGGCGCCCGAGAACTAAAAGTGCGTACAACTGGCTATGAGAAGCAAAGGGTGACCATAATGCTGTGCATCACAACCGACGGTCGGAAACTGATGGCAAGCAAGCTACTGTCCAGTCTTTACTTTATTTATTTCCTTTAGAACATTTCTTCTTTCATTTTGATTATAATAAATTCATATTTCTTGTGCGAATTTCGTATTTCGGGGCATGTTCCGAATCTAAGCACCCCCCTCTCGTTGCACATTGCGGGTGTGAAAAAAAGGGGGTGCTTAGAATCGAGTAAATACGGTCTGCTTCATTTCGGCTTATGTCCAGACACAGCCGGTGCTACAAGCGCCAGCATATGGCCTTGAACAGTGCTTGCATTGCACGAGCGCGGGGGGATCGGTGGCCGAGTGGGCTAGCGCACACTAGCTCGGAGCACGTGGAGCGAAAGCTCGCGCTGCAGAACCCAAGGATCCTGGGTTCGAGCCCCACCTCTGCCCGTTTCGATCTGGATGAGCATCGTACAGATGTGCGGTCGTGTATCACTACTGCGTGATGCACGTTAGAGACCCCAGGCTAGCGGTTGTACTGCACTGACTAAATTGCTCATCTACAGCGTGTGACTCATCGCAAATTTAAATGGCTGACCAACTACACGCTGTATAAATATCCCCATAACCCAATTTTTTGCACAAGCGCGCATTCTTGGCAGGGACGCTGAAAGTCCGGAGCTCGCGCTTTTAGCATCATTTGATTGTAGACTTAACGAAGCAAAGCAACAGCGAATGGCTTCAAAGAGGTCTGGTAGCAGAAACGTCGCAATAGGGAATGCTGCAACGACTGTTTTAAGCTGAAACGAAGTATAACCAGAGCAGCAACCTTTGAATACAGAGCTTCGAATTCGAATCCACCGGCGTTCCCTTTGGGTTGGGAGTTCTGATGTCAATGTTGCCAACAAAAACTGTGAGATGGCTCATTTTGACTGAGGCTCATTGACTCGTTCTTACTTCACTTCACGATTACCACAGCAGGCCAGGTCATTGCCATATTAGATTCTACTCTTTCCTCCTCCCTACTGTCGGCTTTTGAGGAGGCTCATGTGGCTCGACATCTCGGTAAGACAGAAGATCAGCAATGGATGGCTGTAATTTGGTGCATGTGTAAAGCATCTTTAGTTGTTGCTTTGATTGCCATGTTACATTATGTTTAATCCTATCTTCTTACCAGTGCCTTTTTTCTTAATGCGAAATATTTCTCAGGAAATAAAACTGTTCCCTTTTCATAGGTGTGCTGTTTTCAAGAAAGTATTTCCAGTCATGATTTCTTGAAGTATCCCCACTCAATTAAAATTAAATGTAAAATATTTGTATTTTAAAAAATTTCAATTTGCGGTAAAATCTTAATATTATTTATATTTGATTCCTAATAAAAAAAAGTCATGTTTGCAAACTTAAGCAAAATTTCCGAAGAAAGTACCAGGAAAATGTGAGACGTACGTCCAAACAATGCAACTATCACTCAATAGTAAGGGTGCGCAAATGCTTCAGTCCCAAATCGAATAATGAGTGAAAGAATAATTCGGTTCGACTATCGAATCCTTAGTATTTGAATTTTCCTGTCGTAATTTGATAAATCAAATATCAGTATGACAGGCAAGGCGTTTATCGGGAAACGCATTTCATATGGCGAAATAGCCCTCGAGGGCATCTGCTAGGTCTCAATCGAGCTTGCATTCAAAAACCTCAACCGACTAACCACTTTGAGAGGAGGTAGTTAGTCTCTCATATCTCTCGAGCAAAGCAGTCGTGCTCCCAGCTCCTCGAATGCTCTCTATGAACGCCCGTAAACCCCGTGCCTCGCCATTTTGAATTCGAGGTGCTCGCACCACCTCGAGCCAGCTCTGCACATTACAAAACCTATCCTCGATGGTTATGTTCGTCGTATGACAATCAAAATATTGTCGCGGATGAAAAAGGCTTGACCAAAAAATGAACAGAAGGGTTTTATCGGTGAACTTGAGCCAGAAACAAAAGAACAAAATGAGCCATGCGCGCCGCAAGATAAAAAATGGCGATAATTTGAAGGCCTCAATCGCCAACCCGTCGTTCCTCGTGGCGTCGAGCGAAATGCCGGGGCTAAGCGGTGCTGGATGTTGCCTGATTCTGTTGTTTCGGCCGTGTCCGCTCATTTGTCCAACACGCCAAGTATCCACGCGTGGATGGGTAGACACGTCCGTCAGCTCAGCATCGAGCGTGTTGTTTCAACGTGGTCATTAAAGGGACAATGAAGACGATTTTATTTCATTTTTTTAAATGGTGTTTTAATGCTTCTTGGGTACATAGCATGCCGCCCAACTTTTTGTAGACATTTATGACGCGTATTTATGTGCCTACGGAAGAAGTAAAGAAACCGAAACTGAACCATCTCCAGTCTCGTTTCTGGGCCTCCGAAAACGGAGGTGACGTAGGGAGTGACGTCAAGTGTGAATAGTCGGTATCGGTAGTATTTAGGAGATCAAGACTCTGGTTACCGCGGTGGGTTATAGCAGCGCGGTGGCGCGGTCGTTGCGCCGACTCTGTCAACATGGACGAATGCTGCTCTCGCGAGTGAGTTCGAGCTTCCGTTCAGTGACCGAACACCAACGGAACGAGAGTACGTGTGCGGCGGCCTTTGCCATCACCCGACGGAGACCGCCCAGCCGGCAACGAGCGGCCCGCATGCCGAAGGACGGACGCGGGGGAGATGCCGAGGGGAAAGCGGCAGCGATCCCGCTGTTCCGGGATCCGGTTCCTCCGCGGACTTTCTCTTTTTGTCGTCAAAGAACACGAACAGCAACCCACACGTGAAAACTACCGTCGCCCGAACGGATACTGGTCTTCAGTTGACCGTTAGAACAGCCATCTACCGCTACCATTTTGCAAAATCTTTCGAGTACCGTGTTCTTTTTTAATTTTATTTGTTGGCCCATAGTTGCTCGTTGCCGGTTTCGTGTCCAGCGTAGCAAAGAAAAAAACAATGATGCTGCTTTATTTACGGGTTAGTAATCATTTCCCATCCCATTTATACTTTTGATGGTTATTCAAGCGGAAAGTAGAACAGTATTTCTAAAAATCGCAAACCAAAACGTGACCGAGGGCACGTTTCCCGTTTCGACCAATCGCTGACGCGTCTCTTGCGACGTCGCGCTCCTTGGCCCCGCATCGGTCACGTGAGCTCCACTTCTCCTGGCTTCTCCCGCAACAACTCTTGGGGCGTCGCCCCAGTCGATCCCGGTACGATTGTTACCGCGACTGTTTAATTGATTTGCGCGGCACACAAGCGCCGGTTTCGGCTGAAATTTGGGCAACGTGGCCCGAGACGCGCCTGGAACCCAGTTCAATCGCCAAAAAGATCTCCGAAATTGCCTTCATTGTCCCTTTAACGTAGGTTTTTGTTTACGCGAGCCTCTCTGTTCCGCGTGCTATGGGGGAGAATTCAGATGTACAGCTGTTTTTCTTATCTCCGCTGTTTTGCTTAGCCTCGTGAGCGTTGCGACTAACATTTCAATATTTGACCAGTATTCAGCACTATTCAATTCGAATTCGATTCAAGCAAAACTTTTCCTATTCACTCATCTCTACTCAATAGTCTGTGGAACACTTTCTAGTAACTCCTTTCGAAACCGTTGAGAGTGCCACAAAATCTGGACATAGCCCAGCGTGTGCGCAAAGCAGCTAAGTGCAAAGCCCAGATGGAAGGGACTCACGGCTATTTCAATGACGGGCCACTTGACGCACTCAAAGTCCGACACATTGCTGTGCTGCTCATTCTCCTCGACCACGGCCGGCGCCTGCAACCAAAAATTAAAGCCCAATTAATTCCACCCACGAGTGATATTCATCTTGAGTGGGATTAAACGATTCTTTCAACATGACCAACAAGAGCCCAACTACCCACAGCACAATCTGCGGCTCGAAACTGTTTTGTTTTGGCCGACAGTTTCGCTGCTGCAAAAACTGCCAACCAAAACTTTGTGAAGACCGAAATGCTGACATGGAAGGAACGGCTTATCTGGCTTATGTCTGACGGCACATCGTTCAAGAGGGGCCAGAAAAGCACACAGTGGGAGAGGGGTTTATCGACCCCGAATGTTTCCTGAACACATTACCTATGGTCTGGCCATGTCTAGTGTAATCGCGGAAAATATTTGTAGAGTATACACCTCTTGAACTTTGAAATGCATTTTTCTCACTTGGCACCTTTCAGCTGTCTTCGGTTTGAGCAAAAAAAAGTCATTGGGACAACAAAAAAACTTTCAGCCTTTCCACTCTGGAGGGAATGAAGTAATGGCCGGCCGCAAGTCAGCAAGCCTGAGTGGAAAGGCCTGGAGAGGTTGCCGCCATCTATGAGCGACGGCAGTAGCTGTCCAGAGTTTAGTGTCATCATGTGTTTGCCAACAGACACGATACTGGGGAAACTAGCCCCTATACTTCGTTTCAGCTTCCGTCCGAGCGCAGCCAAAGCTACGTGTGGCCGGAGCCAATCACACGCCGGCAATAGGTCACGTGATCTCGCCCGCACTTTCGTATCACTCCGCTGCGCCGCCCGCGTTCGCCGAGCATTTCGTCTGCTTCGGGTGTGTCAACGATATCCTCTGCTACAGGTTGAAAAAGTGCCCTTTCACGTTCTGAAACTTAGTCACAGGGGATGTCAGTATGTAGGCTGGCCGCTGGCATCTGTGTCCGAGCTTTCCACCTGTTCGGCATAGTTTCGAGTTGTAAGTACACGTTGCAAGGTCCCCGATGACCCGGTTGTTGATGTTTCCTTGTATTGTTTGGATATACCAGGACTCAAGGCACAGTCCTTTCCACCAGCTTCTCGGCGTCCAATGTTATCGGCAGGTGAAGGGGTGCCCTGATTTCGCCGTGTATCTGAATTGCTGTGGCCCGTACGCTTTGCTTGTTTACAACGCATTTGCGGTACGACGCGGCCGGAGTCTCCTGCCGAATTTAAAAGTAGACGTTCATCACGACTTCTCGCGCCTGACGCCCAAACGTGCCTTTGCGAAAGGACGTTTTGAAGCGACTCTGTGAGGAAGGCATCGAAGCACATGATTCGGCGATTACGGGAACGAAATCACGCAGAAAAACCGGGCTCTGCAGCCGTGTTGCCAGCAGATATACATGTTTTCACCAAACCAAATGCATTTACATATATTAATAGAAACATAAACTTCAGAGATTTGATTCCTTTAGTTGCAAATCATTCTCAGCAGTACATATCTGGAACATTGTGCAGTTTTTACGCACAAAACAGTTATTTTAAAAGAAATTACTTTTGTGAACTACTTTGTGGTGCGTAGGAATGCTCTTCTCGAAGTTGCGAACCGTCCCTCAGCCTTTGGCTGCGCTCGGACGGAAGCTGAAACGAAGTATAACAGCTCCGCTCTAAAAACATATTACCCTAGTCCCACATATTTAAGAAATTAGTGTTTCTTGAACATCTGGGCACCAGTTGTGCAGTGCTGGCTATTCCATAACAGCTATAAAATAGACATATAAAGAAAACTACGCAAGTTGTTCAATAGCAAGTGGTGCTTGGCCTAAGTTCCTTTGTCGAGTCTTTCTCCTAAGCAGGTGCTTGTCCTCCTCTACCTTGCTTTCTGCCCACCCTCGAACTATACGTGCAAGCATGCTCGCTCCACACCTCCTGAACGACGAGGCCAGGTGGCGTCGTCTTGCATTGTACACCGACCACGCCATAGACTCGCTCCACCGCACGAGTCGGACCCCAGGGGGACACTTATGGGCCAGGCTACTAGTGGGCGGTGGGCTGGGAGAAAGGCTCGGCACAGACTCGACGCCGCGGCCAAAGCATTGCCGCATCTCTGGTGTTTACCCAATATTTGCCATCTCAACAAAAACTAAACATTTTTTCCAAAAAATAAAGATTGGCGCATGCGTTTTTTTTTTTTTTTTAAATAAAAATGTAGCTTTTGGGGTCTTTGGGAGTCTGCGGTCGCCGTCACCTCCCCCCTGCTAAAGCCTCGTAGAGTTTTGGTTGCGTAGTCTTCCGAGCGGTGGTCCTCTCAGAAAAGAGGGTTTGGCGCGGTACTCACGTCGGCGGTGCTTGCGGCGAGGTCGATGGGGGTGACCTTGTAGGACAACAGCAGGGACTGGTACTTGCGCTTCCACAGCACTACGGGGCTGTTGAACATCTTCAGCTGCACCACGGACTCTGACGTCAGCCAGCCGGGCTCCATGCGCTCCTCCCCGTCTGGGCAAAGACAGGCATGTCCGGGCTCCAACTAGAGCCAGACACAAACGCGTCGCGAGCACGACTCTCAACGACTCGAGAAACTGAGGGAGGTGGCGAGTCCCGGGCATCTCGTCTCCTCAGTCGACCGGCATTGAAACGCCCGAGAAGCGACGGACATTGGTAACCACGCGTTTTCCAGACAGTCGGCGACTAGGGCACCCAGGAAATCCACCTTTGAACACTCACGATGGTCATCGAAGAGAGCGCTCCTACACAAACGGAACCTCGGCCATAAATTTGGCGAGAACAGAAAAAACAGCGATCTAAAAAAAAGGAACCACTCGACCGAAGTTTAATGGGCGAACTTACGCCTTCAAGCAATAACACTGGTCAACCGATGTCGGCAGTGGCGACGTAGGCGTGGCCGACGGTATCGAGCGCTAATTCGAGATTGACTATGTGCGGTGGCAGGCGGCTCCTTTGATGCACACCCTACTTTCGCGAATGCGTTCAACCAAAATAATTAACAACTTGGGGAACCAAACTGGAGCATTTCAGTAAAGCTGGCAAAGAATAAAAAAATAAAATGTAGAGCCCTTCCACTTCACGTGAAGATGGAGGACCAGCGAAGCTGTTACCTTTACAACATCTAGGACGACCTCAAGGACGACTTCTTGGACGACCTCAAGGACGACACCTAGAGGACTATGTCCAGGACGACCTCAAGGACGACCTTGAGGACAACGCCTAAGACGACCTCAGGGACGACGCCTAGGATGACCTCAAGGACGACATCTATGACGACCTCAAGTACGACGTCAAGAACGACCTCAAGGACGACTTGTAGGACAAACTTAAGGATGACTTCTCGGACGACCGCGAGGAAAACCTCTCAGATGACCTCAAGGACGACTAAAGGATGACTTCACAACGACCTCAAGGACAACGCCTAAAGAAATTCAGCCTTTCCACTCAGGTGAAAACCAGAGTGAAAAAGCTGGAAAGGTTGCCGCCAGCTATGAGCGACGACGGCAACCCAGTTGTGTGCTTGCCGTCATCACTCACAGATGGCGGTAGCTGTCTGGAGTTTTGTGTCGACATTTGTTTGTCCACGGACACGATACTGGAGAAGCTAGCCCTTATCAGCTCCGCTGTAAAAAGAGTTATACCAGCCTGAACACGTCCCACACAAACCACACACTGTGTGGTTTCTGCTAGTTTTTTTTTTTTTTTATTCTTTGTATAAATCTTCTTTTTATTTTATTTTTAACTATTTTTATGGTGCGATTTTTTTTTTCTTTTAGTTATTTATGAGTTTTTTTTTTTTTTTTAGCATGTTTTCCCGCGAGTGCAGTGCTTTGAGGAGTAGCTGTGCAACACAACTCAGTGGCTACCGAGCCTTTCTTTGTTTGCCAAGAGAAGCCGGCTACCCGAGAGACTTGCGGTCGTAGTGTTGGCAGGCCTTCTGAGCTCGCTCACGCCAGATTTCCTGGGACAATGTAGTTCAGCAGAAATCATCAAGCTGGGGGCTTAGGGACATACTTTAGCCATGCTGTTTGACGTATAAATGGGGCAGGTCATCTTACGGGAGTAGTGAGAGATCTCCAACAAGGATCTCGCTAACCAGTCCTTTAGCCAACCACCCAAAGGACTGGTCTATGTCGTAAAAAGCGGTGCCACTGCAGAGATTGTTTGTCCTCCCATTTGACCGGAAGTTTGCGGGGACGTAAATTGCCGACAATGCCTACTTCTGCCGCTTTTAAAAAAGGCTTTACAGCATACGACTGCCTTTGAATCGTCCCATTTTTTTTTTTCATATAGCTTTTACATGGGCCTTTTGTACACTAGATAGAGGGTGTCTCTTTTAAGTCCTTACAGATGCGTCTTAAGAAAGCCAGGAAAGCTATACTAATGCAGTCGAGTTATACGGCTAAGGCGACATCATATAGAAGGCCGATTGTCACGATAAGTCGGCCAGTTAACCAATACCCCTCTCAGACGGCGTTCTAAAGATCCTTTTCACTAAGCTCCTTTATAAAATCGGCGAGCCACCACATGCCATAGGGCACGTGAGCACGCTGTACAGCATGTATGCACTCCACATCGCGAGCTGATTGGCCGATTTCATAAAGGAGCTTAGTGAAAAGGATCTTTAGAACGCCGTCCGACAGGGGTATTAGACATCTTAATGAAATTTTTAACTAGTGAAAATAAACGTACGGTTCTGTTTCGAAACTTGCCAAGCGCAATTGAAAGCCACTAAATAATTTAGAAAGCCTCGGAGCATGTGGGAAGCACTGTCTAAAGTTGCCACACGTGCAGGACGTGCGAGGCTACCCGTGCTACCCGTGAGATAACAGACCCCGACTGGTTTCTTCACTCTCTTAGTAATTTCTCACCGCCAGCCTTCCGCCTGTTACAGCAGCAGTAACTTTAGAGCACTACTGCGCTTCCCACATGCTCGGTCTTCCTGAAAATGACTCATTTAGTCGTTTTTGATAGCTCTCAGCGAGTCTCTAATAGGAACCATACCTTTATTTTTACTAATAAAAAAAAGTTAATGAACAAATTTTAGTTAATGATTCAAATTATTGTATTGATTAGCTTCCTAAATTATGTCCCCCTGGCCGTACGACTCACCCGCACAGACCGTGTTAGTGTAGCTTTTACCACTTTTTAAAAATGAAAACACCTAAGAAAAAATAGACCCCTTGTATAACGTTAACGTTGCGTAACACTCCCAGCATGTCACTCGTTTACAACTCTTGTTCACAACCATTTTCTTGTAGGAAACGACCTATAAAACACATTCGGCGTTAAAAAAGCATCACCGGCAGAAATAAAATTCTGCCGGCAGTAGCCACGTGCACTGCCAACTCGGCTACGCGTGCCGTCATGTGACGAACCCGTATTTAGTCGCGACGCCACTCTGTTATGACAAAGTTCAACTATGGGAGAGGAGGAGAGCGCTCTCGTATAAAATTACCCTTTCCCAGCTGAATCAAGGAGGATAAATGTGTTTCTCAAGCCCTCTGCAAACCTTCACACCGAGGTTAGCCAGAAAAGTTTAAGATCGGACTGTCTGAGCACCTTTCGTCTACACTCTAGGACAACTTCCCGCGACAACAGCGTCAAAGTTCCAGGCACTCCTGCACTCGCATGCCTCAAGTGCCGACCGAGTGCGCTCTTCTCTTCCACCAGAGGAGAGGCGCCTACCGTAGCTGCCGAAGATGTCGATGGCGGCGTTGCGGTCCACCGTGAGCTCGTTGGCACCGATGCTCCTGGGGTGCACCACCGTCTCCCAGCGGCGCACAATGATCTCTCCGGAGTCCAGCAGGATGCCCACCAAGTAGCGGAACTCCACCGTCCGCTGCAGGGGCACCTGCACTCGCACCGCCCACACTTTCCTGCAAGGCAGACAAACCCCATTGCCGTCAATTCCCATTTGTCACCATATTTTTTTTCCTCAAGGGCCCAGGCGAGCACTTTAAAACAGTTGTATCGTGAATGCGACGTGAAACGTGCCATAATCTAGTTGATAGGGTTGGTGGGAAAGAGGGCAGTGGCTGCGGCAAATTTATTAGGGTCAGTTATAGAAACGATGAAAACCATGGACAGGACAACAGATGTTGTCCTGTTCCCCACTCACCAGGATTGAGAAATGGCACTTCTTAGGCAGCTCACTTGCATTCTTGCATTAACATCAATTGCCATCTTTTACAGGAGTGGTTCTCAAATAAAGGTCCGCGGACCCTTTGGGATTTAAGAATGCACTCTAGGGGTCCGCAAAGCCCTGCCTCATTAGTCAAGCTCGGCAATAAAAGTTGGCTTTTTCAAATTGAGAAGAAACGTTCCAATTTTTTGGCGAGTTTTCTCACGTGTATGTCAATGAGAGGAGTCCACTTCACGCAGCCCTTAGTTATATCCATTTACTACATCATCCTCCTAATTAACCTATACCTCCCCTTCCCCTCACCACAAACGAGGTCCTTTATCATCTCCGCCGACCCACAAGGGGTCTGCGTAACATCAATGGTTAAGAACCACTGTTTTACAGTAAATGCAGCGATGCTACTGCGAAACTGTGATTTAAAGCAATTTTTTAAACACCTGAAAATGAAATTGAGAGCACTAAGGAGCACAAAAGCAAGAAATGTGCAGCTCTTTTGAGCACGTAAAGAACACTTTCCAAAATACTTCCGAGCATGCAGCTATGAAATCTTACAATAACCTAGATTTAGTTTAAAACATTTTTAAATTTGCCAATCCCCTACCAAGTTTTTTTTTTTTTTTTTTGTGCACATTATAGGGCATTTTGTAATATTGGTCTCCACAGACTTAATTATGAAAAATTTATCTTTCATTGAAATCCAATGTGATGGATTACTAAATAGATCTTTCTCATAAAAAAAGGTGACACAACTATCGATCTTACTGTGCGCTGTTTTTTTTTTAAACAAAAAACCTATCAAAAGCCGATCCCTTAAAACTTTTGCAGCTTTCCGTTTATGCCTGCCAGCTTAGTCGTGTCCTCGGAAAGGCTCGCAAAAAAGAGAAGCACCCACCCGGGTTGACAGGAGAGCCGCTAGGTGTCCTTCGCTTTGCCACAACTCGTGTTACATGCGGCTAGGGTAGGTGGCGCAGCTGCCTATTCAGCCAGCCACACATTTGATGGGATTTGGTGGTTCTTGATTAGGATGTTAGAGGAAATCACCTCTGGCACAAAGTGGAGCATTTGGTAATGGTAATGTAGACAATTGATGAGGGACAGTGCACTATAAAATTACACATAATATACCAGCAAGCCCGCATACTCGCTCCGGTTCGGATATCCTGCTGCCTTCCCCAACTGTTTTACGCAGCTACGAGAGATGGCAGCGCAACAAGCCACCCCAACTGCTTCCCACCCCGACTAGAGCCACTGAATGGCTTAGCGCATCCACTCTGTGCCCCAACTGTTTCATTGGCCACTTTCTCGTCAAGTGCAGAGCAGGCAAAACTCGCAACAGTTACGATTTAAAGATGCCACTTCGAGGTTTAAGAGCAACGTCGGGAAGTTCGGGCGATGTCGTTTCGCTCCGTCGCAGAACATTTCGGCATTCCTGGAGAACGAAATGCGTTTCCCGCTATTCCGGACAAAGCTCTGAAGCGCAGCTGGCCACGCAGGAGGCAAAAAGGGGAGTCTCACGTGGCGGGGTCCTCGGGGTGCATGGCCAGGGCGCCGGCCACCTGCCACTCGCCCATCTCGGGGCTGCTGCCGCACACAAACACCGTCTCCCCGTGCAGGGTGTCCACCTGCACCCTCAGGCACAGCTCCCGTTGGGGCGTCGCCTGCACGCCCCCCGGGGAGTGGGCCGCCGAAGTGGCCCCCCCCGCCTGCCCGGGCAGCATCTTAGACCCTGCAACCATTCGCAACATTTCCTGTAATCTGGAAATCTTTCTTCTCTTTTCTAAATGACTGAGCCACACCCAATTTCTCAGTGCAATAAATGACTCTGAATTAAACAAAAAAAACAAGTGCAAGGTTTTCTATATTCTTTAGTTAAGCAATATGCAGTTTGCTGCAATATACTGATACTCCAATATTAGACACATAACATTCATACGCAGTTAATCGTGCACCTCTATTTGTGTGTCTAAAATAACTCCTGAGGGATGCCAGCCTCTGATATGCCTTTGCACATTCCTCATGACAATTCTAATGCAACACATTACTAAAATGAACTTCCAAACACTTAAATTCATTTTAGTTATTATTAAATGGCACCCACAGTGTAGCAAATGTTTGGAACTTTTCTTATTTGTATAATACTGCGGAACACATCAAAATGAATAACCGTATCCTATTCACCACACCATGAGCAGATTTGCCATAGAGAGGCGTTGAGAAATTCCTGACTTTACTGCAACCCCTCTAGAAAAAAACACATATGCGAAAAGTTTAAGTTGGACAGAAAAAGGCAAATATGTATCATTACTAAAAACAACAGTGGCCCTAACATTAATCCTTGTGCTACTCCTGAGTGAATGGGGCGGAGCAAACATTACATTATATCCATGATCGGAAGCTCTATTCAATCTCAGCTGACCTACCTTTTTAAGCAATTTATCTCAGCGCGCATGTTTTTGAAAATCCACGAATATTACGTCAACCTGACTACATTCGTTTATAACCAAGGTTCCGCATTTTCAGTGTTCCTTTTTTTTTTTTTTTTCTCTCAAAATCAAGGTTTCCTTTTTTCTGGATTTAATTTTCTCCTACAGATGCAGTGTTTTCATGTAAATTGGTTAAGACATAATCAATTTACACAGAAAAACACCGAATCTGCAAGTAAAAAGTAAACCCCGAAAAAAAAAAATACCGCCAATTTCGAGAAAAAAAAAAATAAACACCGAAAACATGAAAGTTTATTTATAACTGATGCAAACTCGTGCGAGCACTCAAGTAGATGAGCGACAGTTTGGAGACCGTGCCCGAGTTCAAGGTGATGCTCATACAGTTTTTGCATATCATGCTTGCATTCAGTTCTTGCATATGTACAATAATGCCCCTGGGCAATGTAGGTACCGTAGAAACAAATAAAGAGTTTGCTTTGAGCCCGACAACTTTAGGCTCTCTTGCCAATAGACTGCGGAGCACATTGTTTTCCGCTGCAAGCCAGGATGAAGGTAGCATTGACCGATGGGTAGCAACCGGTGACACCTACTGGAGCAAGGATGAAATCCAATGAGGGGTTTCACGTTTTCTCGGGTCGACAACAGTGAATGTGGATCAGCATGAAGCTCCTTTTATCGATGCATAGCTTAACCACGATAAAAATGTGCCCAAGCTGAATGAATGCAGCTCGATACCAGCACAGTGCGAGCTATGTTTTAGGAGTGATTAACCGATACGCTAAGAATGAAGACAAAAAAAAAACGAAAGACGCTTACAATTCTTTGTAATGCTGAATTAGACCACAGCTCTTGGGGAGGAGGGTATGGAGGGGAGGGTATGCCCCTCCTCCTCCTCCCCTCCGCTGCTTCCCTCCCATTTAGCGGGATATTTTCGCTAAATTTAGCGGGGAAATTTTTCTGCCAAATTTAGCACAAAATTTTTTCAGCTAAGTTTTTTTTTTTTTTTTTTTGCTAAATTTAGTGGAGGAATTTTTTCGCTAATCTTATTGGGGAAATATTTTCGCTAAATTTAGTGCGGCTCCAGCAATTTCCAGAATATTTTCCGCGAAATTGCTGGAGCCGGCACCGACCATGTCACTGTCGCTCACGCAATTTCTGCTACTCACGCAGGTTTTGTGCGGTGCTGCATCACGGAAGCTGCTTATCAAAGACGACGGCACTCAATTCTTACAAGTCTTGTGTAGTGCTGCATCACGGCAGCTACTTATCGAAGACGACAGCACTGAATCCCAAGTATGTCCACCAGGTGACAGGGCACCCAAGTGCGACCTCGACCATCGGTTTCCGACGTGCGCCGCCGCTGATTTTGGCCATGTCCGTTACCGGCCTACGAACACTGGCACAGCACCGACGACCTCGAGGTGAACTACGGGCTACTAAAGGCGGCAACTTCCAGTGTCCAACTGGGGCGTGGAGCCAGCACGACCATGTCACTGTCGCTCACGCATTTTCTGCTACTCATGCAGGTTAGTGGATGGTTTGCTTGTAAAAGGTTTATTGTCTTTATCTTGCCGGTTCCACCCCAAGTGCTGTATAACTGTGTAAAGTCTCACTCGCTTGTGAAGTACCATACACGTCATCGCTTTTTCTTGTTTCGGCGGCTTGCGTTTCATTTAATATTGCTTCTACTGTGTGGCGACATTGAATTAGACCCAGGTCCTGTTAATGAGCCGACTCTGCAGATGAATTTGGATGAGCAACTGGAGATTAAGTCCTAATTAAATAACATAGTAACAAAACAAGTAGCGCAAGGGGCCACCATTGAAGATTTAAAAAGACGTATTTTATCCTTGAAAACTCGGGTTGCAACGCTTAAGTTAGAGGCGGCCGTGACAGAGTGTAGGAATAGCTGCGACAGCCAACAGCGTGCAATGTAGTCCCTTGTGTCAAAGGTTGATAATCTTGAAAATTGTAGCAGAAGATGTAATCTTGTGTTTTATGGTATTAAAGATGAGAAAGGAAATGAATCATGGGCGGTGTCGGAACGACTAGTTAAAGGACTATGTGAAACAAAGCTCGATATTACGCCTACAACCATTGAAAGAGCTCATAGGATTGGGAAATTTACTCCAGAGAAAACCCAACCTTTGATTGCGAATTTTTTGTCGTTTAAAGAAAGACAGTCAATCCTGGGAAACGCAAAGAAGTTGAAAGGTTCTGGCATCAGTGTATCAGAAGATTTCTCTGAAGAGATACATAGAAAAAGACGTTATCTATGGGAGTTTGCCAAGAGTCGCAAAGATGACGATACGCGGGTTAACCTCAGGCACAATGTTCTTTATCTGAATGATACCAAATAGGTACATTTATGATGATACGATCAGTCAGGTGGTGCGGTATAAGTGACTGTATGCTGACTCGCCCACTACAATCTCATTCCTTGTTATTAACTGTCGTGGCATCAAAATTAAAGTTGATGATTTTTCTTCTCTCGTGGATACAGTTCAACAGTCAATTGTTATAGGCACAGAATCTTGGCTAACTGACGACGTAATAGACCGTGGGGTATTTCCTGATAATTTTACATGCTACAGAAAAGACAGAAATAGTTATGGTGGCGGTGTGTTTATTTTAGTGAACCAGAGGATTTCTTCGAGTAAGATTGAGGTCGAACTAGGATCGTGCAAAGCTGTATGGTGTCAGTTAAGACTTCGAAATGGTAAAACTTTGGCAGTTCGTTCTTTTTATCGGCCGCCAGCAAGTTCAGTCGATGTACTAGCAGAATTCACAGCTGCGGTTGAAACTATTAAATCCGATAGCACTGCTATAGGTGGCGATTTTAATTTGCCCGATCATAACTGGCACCAACCAAGCACACACTCTGGAGTAACTCGTGGGCTCACTGCAGTAATGTACAATTTTATCAACCTGTTTTCGGTGACTCAAACAGTACTAGAGACCACTCGAGGGCACCACATATTAGACCTTTTCCTTACAAACAAACCGGCTTTGGTGCAAACTATTTCAGTGATTCCGGGAATCAGCAATCACAACGCTGTCGTTTGTGTAATGAAATTGAATCACGTAAAAATCAATAATGACAGCAGTCGACGCATATTTAATTACAGTCAAGTTAATATTACCACGATAAATGCTGAGCTAGACGCTTATTTCGTTCTTTTTGAAACGCTTGCTGAATCATGTTTGGTACCTGAATTATGGACACTGAGACAAAAGCTTTGGAATTGCAAGACCACTTTGTTCCCTCTTGGATTTTAACTAAGAGGTGTAATAATAGCAAACCTTGGTTTACAAAAGAACTACGAAACTTGACCAATAGAAAACAAAGAATTTATCGGGCCTATAAGAACAATCCGTCGCTTGAAGATATCATCAAACTAAAAACGATAACGAGTAATCGAAAAACGAAAATAGACCAACCAAAATCATTTTTCTTCGAGTCATTTCAAACTAAAGTTAAAGAAAATCCTAAAGAACTTTGGAAATACATAAAGAGGAATAAAAAAAGATAATGTATCTATTCCTGCTCTCGTGAAATGTGACAATATGGTCACCGGTGCTGGTGACAAAGCTGTATGTTTTAACACTTACTTTAGTTCTGTTTTCCCTACCTGTTATAAATAACAACACTGCAGAAGGCCTCGCTCCGTCGGATGTATCGCCCATGGAAGATATGTTCTTTGATGCTCACGGGATAGAAGTTTTATCGGAGGGCTTAAGTGCTTCAAAGGCTGCTGGCCCTGACTATATACCGACTGCTTTACTGAAATCCTGCGCACGATCCATGTCCCCATATTTAAAATTACTTTTTACGAAGTCACTGATTTATTGCTCACTCCCTGACAATCGGAAGATAGCGTCAGTAGTCCCAGTCTATAAATCGGGGCTTTGCAACAGTGCCTCTAACTACCGTCCCATTCCATTGACTTCCGTTTGCTGTAAAATTCTTGAACACATCCTGTACACGTCTATTTCCAAACACATGCATATTCATTATTTGTTTAATCAGAAACAGCGTGGCTTTCGAAAAGATTTGATAGGATGGAAGCTTAGGCGAGTTGGTGAACCATACTTGACGGCGACAGCGCAGGAAAAATCAATCTCACACTAGACACTCGGTAATAAGTGATAAGTAGAAGACTACTTCTTCTACTTATCACGTTCTGAAAAGGCAACCCAGACGTTGAAGAGAAAAATGAAGCAGTCGAATACACAAGAGTTGTAAGTTCAGCGCGTGTGCTTGTCTTCCTGAGTGTCTGGT